AAAAAAAAAAAAAAAAAAAAATCAAAAATTTTTAGATGTCTGCTAACTTCAGTGTCATTAATTTTTATTTTAAATAAAATTAATTACAAATATTATTTATTTTAATTTAAAAAAATTTTTAATTTGATTTAATAAATAAAATTTGCTCCAAAAAATTATAAAATATCTTTTAATTTATTTTTAAAAAATAATTTTGACATTTTTAATTATTAAAATTTTTTAAACAAAAAAAAAAAATTAATGTATATGATATTGAATTCTAACCACAACTAAAAACTTACTGAATAGCTAATCGAAGAGCTTCCATAATAATTTTCCATAAAAAAAAATTTCTAAATAAAGATAATAACTAAATAAACATAAAACAGAATTTTTCACAACACCATGGAGGACGCATTGTCCTGTAAAAACTCTCGATTGGCCATTAACATTCTCACTGGCACAAAACAATCCATGATTATTAAAGAAAAAAAAAAACAGAGATAAAAATGGCAGCGAGTGAATAATTACACTGACAATAAAATATAACTGATGGAATAATAATAAATATATAAGAAATGATGAATCTAAAGTGAAAAGCAATACAAGAGCAAAGACTAAAGACCACAGATACAGCCTTACAATCTCACAGTCTCACAGAATGCAGAGAGCCCACGGCTCACGTTTCACAGCTGCGCACGTTTCTCAGATGCTGTTTGTAGCCGGGCTGGGATTGGTCCGCGCTCAGGCCGACAGAGACGCCAAGGCGCTGCGGCGGGAAAGAGAAGGAAAGAAGACTACCAGCGGGGGAGGATGCCAGGCTGATTCAAGTTTGAGAGAGATGGAGAAAGAGTAACGCACGTTGCGCGTGTTTAAACCTGCTTGTATTTTTCATTGTCTGCAGATGTAAGTGTGTGTGTGTGTGTGTGTGTAAGTGTCAGTTGGTGTAGATGTGTTAATATTTGTGAGGTAAACACCGGGGTGAACAGCATCTGAATCTTAAATTTATATTATAATAATATAATATCCAAGCATTGGTATTCGAGATGCGAATTCGCTGGATTCAAAAGAGAAAGGCATTTTAAGAGAACAACGAGAGTAAAAGATATCATATGGATATCACACAAGTATCAAGTATGACATGACAAATGACACTCTAGCTGACAGATATTATATAGAAGGTTTTTTTTATTATTTTATTTAAATTTCTAAGGTGATAATTTTTAAAAATTATTTAGTGGTGATTTTTTATGACACTAAAGTTAGCCGACATTTGTAATTTTTTAATTTTTTTTTTAATAATTAAATTAGAACAAAAAAAATATTTTTTTTTTAATTGCACTTATAGTTTTTGAAGTTTTTTAGACATGCTTATTTTTTTTTTTTTTATTTTTTTGTAATGATTTTTTCAATAAAAAAAAAATTATTAAAATTTTTAAATGTCGGCTAACTTAATTTTCATTAAAAATTTTTAGAATTTTTTTAACAAATAAATTGTGGCAAAATAAATAAGAAAAAAAAATTGACATGTAGAAATTTAAAAATATTAAAAATGCAATTTTTTTTTAATAATTTTTTATAATTAATTTAATTGGTAAATAAAATTCAAAGTTTTTCAAGTGACATGCCACTGAAGTTAGCAGACGTGTAAAAATGATGAAAATTAAGTTAGCCGACATTTAAAAATTTTTATTAAAGAATTATTTACAAAAAAATTTTTTTATTTGTTAAAAACTTGAAAAACTAAGTTAGCCGACATCGGCTAACTTTATTATAGTTTTTTTATTAAAAAAATTTTTAAAAATGTCACTTGTAAAAAACTTGAAAAACTGTAACTGTAATTTTTAAAAAATATTTTTTTTGTTATTTATTTAATAAATGAAGAAAAATCAAAAAATTAAAAACGTCGGCTAACTTTATTATGTCAAAATTTTTGATTTTTTTTATTAATTAAATTACAACTAAAAAGATATTTATAAAAAATTGCACTTATAGTTTTTAAAGGTTTTTACATGTGACAATTTTTTTTTTTAAATTGTTTAATTGAAATTTTTTCAATAAAAAATTTTGAAATGTCGGTTAACTTGATTTTCATCAAGTGATAGCTAACTTTAATGTAATTTTTTTGAAAATTAACAGCTGTCAGCTAACTTCAGCATCATCATAAGAAGAAGAATAGAAGAAGAATCGAGGTTTAGAATTAAATATAATAAGAGTAAAAGGTTTTAATTAATAATAATGTTATGCTATATGTAAGTACAGGAACTAAATTATGAGACCTTGCTATTGCGTGATGCCGTAGGCGCCAGTTTCAAGAATATTAAGTGCTTTTTTTTTTCAGGTACACTAGCTATAGGTTTACTAGCAGTTGAACGAGTAGATTCGATTTTCAGAACCAGGTAATTTTTAATTCTACAGAAATTTGCATGGATTGAGAAAATTACTGAGGAAGATCTAAATAATCATACAGACAATTTTAGATCATAAAATTTTATTGTCTGGGTGAAGTTTTTATTTTATGAAGATGATTAACTAATGATGGAATTTTATAAAAATGACAGCTTGTTTTTTTTTTATTGAATTTTTAAAAAATGATTAAAAATTTTTTTTTAATTATAATTTTTCATAGAAAAATTTAATTATTCAATTTTATTGATAATTAATTATAAAACTTTAATCTAAAAGTATAGATCATTTTTTTTTTTTTAATATAATCTGGTGATCTATAATTAATTTAAAAAAAAATTGTCTCCAGATTGAAGAACAAAAATTTTCCAAAGGATAAAAAATGAAAATAAAAATATCCAGACGTGATAATTTTTTTTTATGAAACAAAAACAAGCTGACAAATCTTTATAAATTTAATATAGATACTTAACTTTATTATTATCAGACACACGTTAAGATGGATCAAGTCTCCGGGTCACCCGGTGTAATAGTCCATCAGACTTTGTGCCGGGGTCATAACCGCTTAATTGGTCAGGAGCATAAAAAACAAACCCAGAGTCATATATGTATAACAAGCTGTACAAGTGTGCTGCTTTATTGTCATAGACTATATCTATAATTCCATAAAAACCTACATTGATATTCCCCGAATTGAATATCCTACAAGTATTTTCATTAAGGAATATAAATATCAGACTAAGAATAGATTCTTAAATTTTACAGCTATTTTAGAGTTTATAATTAACTCTAGAAATAATTTCAGAATATATTCTTCTTTAACTCTGTTAAATAAAATTATAGAATAAAAAATAATCATTTAAAAACTCATACATAGAAACAAAACGATACGAACAAAATTAAAATATTGGTTGTCAAATAGACATTAATATTTTTACATAAATTTAATATAAATATGTACTAATTATTTAGAACCATATATTAAATATAAAACAATAATTCGCACTAAGTAGTCTGACAAAATACTTTAATAATATAATAAAACTATGAAGGCAGATTTAGACACAAAATAAAAATGACTAAGTACCAAAATAGTCCTTTGTATACTGCAATTAAATACTTAAATCTGTTACCAAAAAAAAAAAAATAAGGAATACACTAACGTTAACTAAATCAATTAAATACTATCTAAGAAAATTGTTACTGTCTACTATTTAATCAAAAAAATAGCGAATGACCATTGTTTATAAATTATGATAATAATTTATGAAAAAAATAAATATTTTTTTTCACCATTGCGTTTAAAAAGGTTCAACTAATCACCAAAAAATTCAGCGTGGAAAAAACAATTTGAATTTATGATTTTACAGAAGTCTAAAGTTTATTTTTTGACTCCTAAAAAACCCCGTTTTTTAATCTTTTATTGTTTATATTTGTTGTCAAAAATTTTTTATGAATAGCAATTTTTTTTGACTCATATATTTGTGGTGCTCTTTATAATTTATACTTAAGTAAGTTAGATTCATTAAATACTAAGCTTATGTTGTTAAATAGGCATTAGATATATGACGGTATTACATATAAATCATATAGAATTTAAATGCACTACATCTATATTTATCTATCTTTTAGGAATAAATAAATAAATAAAATAAATACTTACATAAAAGGACAACAGTTCATGTAGCCGCTGGTATAAAAACAAATAAACAAAATATTTATTTGATTAAATTCAAAGAAGAAATCCAGTTAGAGCCGCATCTGCATCGTCTTCATGACACAAATATAATAAAGATCCAGATGATACCACATCAAGCTAATAATAAAGATCGGATTTTATTGGCAGCTTAATATATTATTTAAATATAATAATATCGATTCCGTACGCGTGCCAGGTGTCTGAGCAGGTGTAGCGTTTTCTTTGTTACGTTCTGCATAAGTAATAGCTAGAATTGCAATATAAAATAATCTATTAAATAATTATAAAAATTAATTACAACAGAGTTGTAAACATAAACATTGAGAAGAAATTAAACTTTGATTTACTGGGCACATAAAAGGAAAGCATGCGCTATTTTAATCGGGTCACAATCCACTCGACCGAGATTATTAACCCAAGGGCGTTCACAGACAATCGTCATATTAAGTAAGCTTTTAAATAATTACTTTAATTATTTTAATTGAAATTAATAAAAGTACTTTTTGTTCACTAGGCGCTGGATTATATTTGCAAAAAGTAACTTAAAGTTTGTAAATAAAACGGTGTTGCGGCCATTGGTGTCGGGAGAGACTGAGGATTGCGGGTTGCTTGCGCAGTGAGTTTCTCCCCTTGGAGTTTCAACCCCCACTAAGCTCGCTCCTATCGAACTGGTACCGTAGGTCATGTCCTTGTTGTATTAATATATTTTTTATTTCAGGATCCAGATCCAGATCCAGATCCAGATCCAGATCCAGATCCAGGATTGGGAAGAATAATCTTAATTCCAGTTGATGTTGTTGATGATGATAAATAAAAAGGCAAGACCAGTTAGTGAGTCAACTTAACTTAACTAGTCCCACACGTGTTTTTAAGTTGCTGTGTGAATACTCGTACCCGTACCCGCTATCTCTACTCACTGCTTGGCTCATGGAATAAAATTAAATATTATTATACATATATACGTATATAGTAAACATTACCGAGTATAAGAAGTATATTGTCGTGCTGTAAACTTGGTATTGTTAAGTCCCAGGACTACGTGACTCGCGTGTTCAATTCCCGCGATGTCGTTTAGCTACAACGGGACATCCATTGTCTGAATAAATATTTAATATTTAATATTATTTTGATTCAGCTTTTAGACAATTACTGGATTTTTTCCCTGTTTAAAAATATTCATTGAAAAAAATTCGCTCTATGCTAATTATATATCTAGAGAGAAATTGGAAAATGTAATTATTAGATATTAGTGATTTTCATGAAAATATAAACAATTTTGAATTGATTAGCAAAATAACAAAGATAATTGATTATTTATATTTTGACAACGTTTTTAAAATAGACTATTAAATTGCAGTAATTAATACAAATGACAATGTTAATTACTAGTCTATAAACCTATTAGAGGTTATAGTGCTGTTAAAATTATACGGCCTCAACCTGTTCAGGTTATGGGTACCGGTTTGAAAATTTCGAGGTATAGTTGAACGCTAAAATTTAATATAAAAATTATAGTTTATGTTTTTACAAAAAATATGTTATTTAGAAAAGACTATTTCATTAGATGGTACAATTTTTTTTACTTAAAATGATGATATACCGTTTTTTTTTTTGACTGATTCGGTTTACGATTTAGTACCTTTTTCATGAAAAAAATAGCATTTATTATATCGACGGTCTAATTAGCAATTTGTCTCTCCTTATTTTTTAGAAGGTAATTTTTAACATTTCGATGTAGCCAACAATCCAATTATAAATTATTTGAATGATTTAAACCTAAATATTATATCTCTATTAGATATTAAATGGTTTTTTAAAGTGATAATAAATTTTGAACTAATTATTTTTTTCGTACAAATAAAAGATTCTCTAAAATGGAGTTAGACAATTTGCTAATTAGAACGTCGATATGTTAAAATATTTCAAAGGTCATGGTGTTTTTCACTTACCCCTTTGATATTAAGAAAACTTTTATTGTAAAAACCCTAATGCGTTACTATCAAGAGTGTAAAGATCTATACAATACTAAACAAACTAAAACTGGATTTAAGTCGATGTCTCTCCCTAAAATTAAAAAAAGAATTAGCGTAAAAAATGCTTACTATGTTGCTATATAAAATATTTTAACCTTTTACCTAATAATCTTAAGATATTAAATTGTAGTAAAAAAAACGCTAAACTATAAGATAAAAGCTTGGATCATTTTAAGCACTTCCATATGAAATTTATCCAATATTAGTATTTTTCTCTTAGTGCATTTTGTATCTTTTTTGGATATATTTTTAAATACTTTTTAAAATATAGGATAATTTTGTAATATCTAGCTCTATGTACAGATGCTCTTGCATCTCTATAGACCTAAATGCTGAAAATAACTAAAAAATTTTTAAATTTTAAACAAAAAAAAATGCAATTTTTTTTAAACAAATTTATTTGTTAAAAAAAATTGTCTTTACGTTAAAAATCTTACCCTCTTTTCTGACAATGTATTTTTCTTTGATAAAAAAAAATACCATCTGTCAACAAAGATAAAAAAAAAACTTTTTTAAGAGGACTTAAATGATTATAATTATTTAAAAAAAAAAAATTTAGCATATCTTATCATTTAAAAGACAATTATTAATGATAAGTATATAGTAGCTTCATTTATCGCCGTTGAACTCAATTGTTGATTTTATCCAGTCAAGGTAATAGTATACGTGCGTGTGGATGTCGGGATAACCTTGAGCACACGGAGAACCCCAGGCAGCAATCCCTATCTGTTGGCCATCTGTAACTAATGCGCCGCCTGAATCACCCTGCAAGAGAAAGTTTTTATTTATTTAAAATTCAAATATTACATTACTTGCTTATTTAATATTACTCACTATTTTAAAAAAATAAACATTTGCAATGATAATTACATAACAAATTCCTTTTCCAGAATTACTCAGAGTGCATATAGATCCGGGAGTAATTTCAGTAAATGTCTTTCGGCAAGTAGACAGTTTAATAACACAGAGCTGAATTTCTTGAAGCACATCAATCTTGGTCCCGTTCAGCTAACCGCAATAATAATTTATTATTATTATAAATCTAAATTATAGTTAAAACTTAGAGCTCACATATTTGCTTCTTCATCCGGTGAAGGTAGCTGACAATTTTTGTTCAAGTTCTAGGACATCAAAGCTGGCCAGCGGAATTGGGCAGAAAATACCTGAATATAATAATATTTAAAAAAAAATACTTGAAATTAAGGTCTAAAAGTTATAAAAAAAAGGAGCAATATTTAAAAAAAATTAGGTATAAAAATTTTGCAGTTACTGTGTTTTAAAATTGGGCAGCCGAATATTATTCTGCGCTGTTTTTCGATGTCCTTTTATGCGCAATGACACCTGATGAGGATAAGCGTGATCTTGTGCGTCTTTGCCTCCAATTACACGCAATTTACTCGACGCACTTGCCGTAACAATTAAAATTGTCGTGAAACAATGAACAATCATTCTTGCAAGTATTGTTGCCTGCAATTAGTAATTATTATAATTAATTCTTGCTTATTTATTAGCTTCATTATCATAAAAGATTAAATAGTTTTGAGAATTTTTAGTATTTTAATTAAACAAGTAATTCCAGTTATTTATATTTATTTTAGATTAAAATTGAAACAATTTTTTTTTTTTTTAATTATGATACTAAAATTAGCAGACTGATCTATTTTTAATTTTTATAAAAAAAAATATTTTTTTATAATTTCTACATGTAAAAATTTTTTTTATTGCAATTTAATTGTTATAAAAATTAAAAACATTAATTAAATTTTTCTTAATTTTTACATGAGGAATTTAAAAGAAAATTTTTTTTTTTTCATTATAATTTAATTCTAAAAATTAAAAAAAAATTTTTAGATGTCTGTTAAATTAATTATCATTAAAAATCATCATCGATAAAATCGAAAGTATCGGTGTTGGATTCAGATTCAGATTCAGATTCGGCTCCGGTTGTTTCTTTAATCCACTCGAGGTAGCTGTGGACCCTTGTGAAGACATCGGGTTTGTTCTTCGCGCAAGGGATTCCCCAAGAAACAACGCCGATCTGAACTCCGTCTGCGACTAGAGGCCCACCAGAGTCTCCCTAAAAAAAAATAATTATTGTTAACCAGTTGAAGAAACTTTTTTTTTTTTTTTTTTTTTTTTTTTTTTTTATTTAAAATAACATATTTATGTTTATATTAAGGCATGTGTTTTTGTGAATAAAACACTCCAGGAGAGCTCTCATGGAGGCTACAGATATAAACTAGGTACTCTTACATGACAAGCTCCCTCGCCTCGGCCATTCAATGTACAGATGTTGGTGCTTGTCACCCGCATACTGAAGTTACGGCACTGTTTTTGATCAATCACTGTGAGTTTTATGTATTGGAGCTCGTTGGGAATACTGCCTGGGTACTAAATAAATATTTATATTTATTTTTATTACCATTAATTAATATAAATTTTCATTTATAAGAGATTAAGTTTAATAGATATTTATGTTAGTTTAATTAAAAAAAATTTTTTTTAATATTATGTCTGGTAAAAAATCTATTTAAGAATCATTTTTTTTAAAGTTATAATTTATGGTTTAATTAAAAAACATTTTTTAATATAAAACATAATTGTTAAATTACACTGTACTTACACTCATCAAAAGAGCTTTCATTTGAGTACCCACATGCATTTTTGATATATTTTTCATATATACATATATATATATAATATATATAAATATATAAAATATATGAAAATTGATGTGGGTACTCATATGAAAGGTCTTGATGAGTGTAACATCAGGATGAGCTTATATCTATAAAAATGTCAATAGTTCACGAGATACAGGGTCATTTCTTAATTATTGACATTTTTTAAAATATAAACTCATTTCGATGTTAAACTCATCGAGACCTTTCATTGAAGTACCCACATGCATTTTTGATATATTTTTCATATATTTATATATATAATATATATAAATATATAAAATATATGAAAAATTGATGTGGGTACTCAAATGAAAGGTCTTGATGAGTGTAATGTCAGGATGAGCTTATATCATTAAAAATGTCAATATTTTACAAGATACAAGGTAATTTTTTAATACTGGCCACAAAATTTTGCTTATTTTCTTAATAATATAGATTAATTTTTTTACAGGCTCTATATTTAATTCAAAAATATTTCTATAAAAAGTTACTAAATTTATAAAAATTTTTGAAGAATATTGAATAATATTTTTGAATAATTTTTGAATAATAATACGACGGATTATTATTTGTGTACCGTTCTTCAGAAAGGGAGTGTCAAAGTCTAGTTTAAAGAACGTTGTATTAAAAATAAAATACTGCGGAACTTAGATAACTCGTATTTCAAAGAAAGTTTCAAGTTAAAAAACTTTTCAGTATATATCCCAAGATATTAAAAATTTAACTGCTACAATTAATCAGAAGCTTATGTCATGACTTTTACAGAGTGTATGACTAATACATACAATAGTGAATTAAAATTACCGCGGAGTAAGCAAAAATGTTATTTCTAGGTCATACGATATCTACATACGTTTAATGTTCTCTGTAATGATGGATTAACGCACTTGGTTAATGGTTTGTGTTTCATCGGCATAATAAGAAAGTAGATTAACAGACTTGTGATTAAATAATGAAGAAAACTGCTCCAGAAAGGAATGTTTATGATGAGTTTTAATTTAAATTTAGCCGACCTACTAAATTTATGTTTTATAAATAAAATATTACTTTTTTCACTTACGTTAGTTTTACCCCAGCCAGACAAATAAGCCGGATAATCACTCTTATCAAAGTTACCCGTCGGAAGATCAACAGGCTTAACGTTGTCAGAAAATTCAATATCCTCGTCTACTTCAATCAGCCCGATATCATTTCTAATAAACAATGAACTGTAACGTTCATGTGGGACAATACGGACTGATTGATACCAATTTCCTCCTTCGTCCAATTTTGTTGATCCCGTTACTACTTTAATTGCCGTATCGTTGAAACTGTGATAAATAATTATTTAGTTTTAATTTAAATTTTTATAAAAATTTAATTTAAAAGAATATTTATAAAATTTTAATTAAAAAATTTTTTTATTAATATTTAATTCAAAAAATCTTTATAAATATTTAATTAAATAAATTTTTATAAAAATTTATATAATTACACGGAAAGAACAAGTTGACACTGGATATCACCCCAGATTATACTCATTGTAATCTGGATTATACTAGCTGCTATCTGAGATTTTTGAGAATTGAAAATTTTGACTTTTAAAAATTTCAGATAGTAGCTCAAAAAAATCCAGGTTATACTCATTATAATATGGATTATATTCATTGTAATCTGGATTATACTCATTGTAATCTGGATTTTTTTTTTAGCTAAAAACGTTTATATAGTATAATCCAGATTATAATGAGTACAATCCAGATATCACTCAATATAATCTTGGATGATATCCAGTGTCATCTTGTTCTTTCCGTGTAGATATTTATAAATGTTTTTTTTTAAATTAAATTTTTTAAACTAAATTTAAAAAAAAATTTAATTTAAAAGAATATTTATATAATTTGAATTAAAAAAATTTTTTTATTAATATTTAATTAAAAAAATCTTTGTAAATATTTAATTAAATAAATTTTTATAAAAATTTATATAGTAAAATATTTATAACAATTTTTTCTCAAGTATTTATAAATAGAATTAAATAACTATTATTAAATAAAATAATAACTTTCTCAAACAATGAGCGGCAGTCAATATCCATCTGTGATTAATAATAGATCCACCGCAAAAATGACGATTCTTAATCCTCAATGAAACTTGATAAGGAAATTGTCCTTCATCTGCGTAATTCCCGCCGACTATTTTAGGATGCTCGTTCCTTTGTCCTGGAATAAAATTGACAATTAATACAGCAAATAATTAAAAGAAAAAAAAAATTTTTTTTCATACCATAAGTCTGAAGACAATTAATAAAACAGATGCTCAGAGAAAATATCACAGCCTGGCACGGACTCATTCTAGCTTGAAGAATATTGTTTATTATCTTACCGAAACGTTTGTTTGTACTTAAAACAATAAATGTACGTATGAAGGTGCTTATATATATATATATAAGGCTAAAATGTTTGTTAGATTATTGAATCGCGTGTCTCCCGCTGGCGAATATATTTAAATTTAGGTCAGATACTGGAAGTTGTTAACGTATTGGGACCTTGCTAAGGCGCTGGGTAGCCAACTTGTAATGTATCTCATGCTTGGTATATCGAAAATAGTGACGATAGTAGACAAACAATAAATATATCCTATCCCGAGTGTAATAAATAAGTGAAGGGAACCCGATTATTACAATAATCTTTTAGTTGCATAGTATTATTACAATTACTATCCATCCGTGAAATTTTATCATTTTATAACATATAATTGATTTTGTCATAAATTGTGGCAATGTTTACACAATATTAATTAATTTTTTATTGCTTTTCCAGGCAATGTGAAGAAAACTCTTGGGAAACAAGTTAGATAATTAATGGTCATTTATTGTAATGACCAAACGAAAACGGTTGCATCTCTTCAGCTAAGACATACCAATACCAATAAATAAATAGTTAATGGGTTGTAATTTATTCATTTTTTAATATTCATAAGCTTTTTAAATTTATGCTGGGCTTCTCGGAATTTATCACTGAATTTTACGACTCGTACTGTGGCGACAGTTTAAATAATGGGATTTAGATTGTATCGGGCATTGACTTAAAAAAAAAAAACGTTCCGATCCATCAATTCGCCCTGTTAGCACAAATGAAATTAAGTTGACGTAGACCTGTCGTAAAATTTACGGAAACAGTTGTAATTTTAAGTGAACCTTTCGGTAAATTTGCGTAACTGACAATTAAAGAATCTTTAAAGATTAATGTAATAAATTAAATTATAAAGCTGCAACGCATAAAGTTCACTAATAATTTAAAGAGTAATAATAAAAATAAGAGAATTCACTAATAAAGATCATACTTTAAAGTTAAATAGGTAGACTAAAAATTATTGACATTTTTAAAGATATAAGCTCATTTTGATGTTACACTCATCGAGACCTTTCATTTGAGTACCCACATGGCATTTTTTATATATTTTATATATATGGTATTTGTTAAATATATATAATATATATAAATATATGAAAAATTGATGTGGGCACTCAAATGAAAGGTCTTGATGAGTGTAACATCAAAATGAGCTTAGTTATATCTTCATAAATGTCAATAGTTCACGAGATACAAGGTCATTTCTTAATTATTGATATTTTTAAAGATATCAAAAATAAGTCAAACATCTTATTTTTAAAAACTTCCAAACTAGACGAATTTATAACATCCTCTGGTAATTCTTCCCATAGACGTATAACTGTAACAACAAAAGGAGATCCATAATAAGTTGTAGGGAAAAGATTCACGTAAATCATTGATCATCAACTAGTTGACTCTAAAGATTTGCAAAGTGCAAAAGCCTTAATCGATAGGTCTACGTTAGGTCTGTATAGGTCCACCCAAATTTTCGTTGGGTCCTTTATAGTTTTTTTGTAAATAATTTTTTAAATTTCATTAAATCGTATTCTTTATCGTTAGGTCCGTATTGGTTCATTTTGCGGTGTTAACTGAGTGGTAGTTGATAAAACTGACTACCGACTCACCAGTTAAAGGTACCAGTTGCCTTACCGACGGTCGAACAAAGCGTTCCTGAATATTTAACAAGAAAAGAAGAATACGTTATACATTATAGATAATAAATGAGAATGATCATAATATAAAGAAGAGCTTACCGACAAATATCTGCAAAAGGGCACTGGATGAAGTAAATTCCATATGAAGATTGCAAATTAGTGAGACCTTTGACTTTAAATAAAGGTCGTGTGGTTTGTTATTTTATCATTACATTAATTGGTTGCTTTGCACGACTTATTTGCTTAATCACAGTATCATTAAGCTCTTGTTTAGATTTGCTGTTGAAGCTAATCAATGGAAGCTATGATAATATTATAAGAAAGCATTAGTGATCCTGATCAGCGATGATGATGATGATGATGATGATGATGATGATCATCATCATCATTGATGAACTTTGAGGATTGTTTTTCAAGGGAAGAAATGTTGATATAAAAGGGAGTGAAGAATAATCATAATAGGACACAGATCGAATACATCGTAATCGTTGGGGTAAGTAAATGCCGCATACCATCAACACTGAGTAAAGGTCAGTTAAACCCAAGGTTTACATAACCACAAAGCGAAAGGCTGTCTCATCTCAGCGGCATCCTCTTATTTTTTACTCATTTTCATACTCGTCATTTTTATTTATTCTAACGGCTGCTAGTGTGCTAGTAGTCAATGATCACTGATTACTTTTGCCGGACAACAAGTTGGGCGCCAGTAACCTGTACGCATTTATTTGGCGTAGGACTGGAATGTTTTTGTGTTAAGCTATGATTTATGACACTTTGTCTCATTAACAAATAAAACTACACAGCGGACGTGTAATAACAGTTCAATCTACATATCTTGGATCCATTAATCATAGACGGTTGCAACTGTCAATCGCCTACAATTGTTGAGACGAATCAGCCACCGGTATTGAATACCCTACCTGTATTATCTTACTCAGATTGTCGGCAGCCTTACTTTAATGCTCATGCTTACACTGAAACAATAGATACTTCAGTACATGTATGGGAGGACAGTGACATTTGGTGTTGTCCTCGATGCCCCATGTGTCACGTTTCGTCCTCCACCTCACCTTTCACCTGTCTCTTTTCTTCTTTTTTATTATACGGCGCCAGGGGTTTGGGTTATTTTTTAAATCTGCAAAATTTTATAATTACTAAGATTAATTGCCACCTGATTGTACGACTTACCAACCTTTTGCTTGTTATTAATATTTTTTAGAATCAGATAGATCATAATATCCAGGGTCTCATCTGGAAGTTAGGGCAAAACAATTAAAAATAAAAAGAGAGTGAAATTCACACAATAATGCTCAGCAATAAAACAAAAGCAAGTAAATTAAATGTTATAGCCTAGAAATTGAATGTCAATACAAAAATAAGTTTGGCAGCAAAAACACGTGTGTGTTTATGCCGAAGAACTCTGAAAAATTAATCACTTAGTGCATTCGTAAATGTTGAAAAAAATTTTTTAAATAATAACTAAAACAATAAATTCGTACAAAATTTAAGACAAAAAATAAGACAAAAGTTTCGAACTGCTTGTTATCATTATTTTTTAGAATTGGATAGATCATAATATGTATTCATTATTGTTATAGTATTTGGTGATGAATTGATGATTGAGTGTTTAACACACTACTTTATACATTATATATTGAGATTTTTTGTATCAATTTTGGATGGCCGCAAGGAGTTTCGACTTCATGGCCAATTAAATAAATAAATAATAATAATTAAACATGATCATCAACTGGATCTTTTCAATCAATATTTTTAATCAGGGCTAGAAGACATTTGACAACTTTTTTGTTAAAAACTAAACTGACTTTGTATAAAAAATGATTTTTAAAAAATATAATTTATAATTTTTTAAAGAACTTTTTTTTTGCTATAATTAATTTTTCAAAAAAATTATCAGATGTTTCTTAATTTCATAAAAATTAATCATATATCTTTATAATATAACAGAGGGATATGTGTCGTGATTAACAAATAGTGTCACGTATTTTCTGAGGCTGAGATATTCGAGGCTCTCGACACTGAGGTGGTTAGTAGTAAGGATGCGCAAGGCCAAGGGAAATTCTTGGTGAATGGATACCACCACAGCTACTTTTATGATTCGTTATTTAATTTAAAATATCTAGATCTCAATAAATTTTCAATAATAATGTGATATTAAAGTTAGCAGTCATCATTTGAAAAAATTTTTTTCAACAAATTTCTTCTAAAAAATTATTAATAAACAATTGCATTTTTTATTTTTAAAGTTTCTTCCAAAAAATATTTTTTTTTTTTTTAATTTATCCATGTCAATCTTTATTTGTTAAAAAAAATTATTAAAAATCTGCTAAATAAATTTTTATATTATAATCCTAATTTATAAAAAATAAAAACTCACTTTTAAGGCTAGAAGATCATATTTGATTATACAAAAAGTAGACCAATGAGTGTCCTGTCCTTCTTGGGGACAATTAGTATAATCTGTGAAAGCAGTAAGATGCAGATGAAGATGATGCACTGAAATTATAAAATATGTGATTATGCAATTTTTAAAGTTGCTCCGAGTTGATTATTATGACACTACGTGAGCAGGAATTCTCGAGATAAGTAAGTGCATATATCCCCCGTTGTCACTCGGACATTTATCGCTTACAGACAGCCAGACATATTACACGTGTATGTATCTATAGATTAATTCTCGAGGGTTCTTAAAGCCTGAAATGATATGCCGCTTGAACGCCTCGGGCTACTAGAGACTTTAAAGTCCTCACACCCATTAGAATGCTAATTATAAATTGTCATAATGTCGCCGACTTTTTAATCGATTCCAACACTAATTTTCAATCCGTTGATCCTGCTGATTAATTAATTAAAATGTACTTTGTAATAATTACTAATCTGTTGTTTCTTGTCTTAACTCAGGAAATAATTCACTTATCATTGCAATTATTATTATTATTATTATTATAACAATCAAGGACTTTGGCCGTGATTGAAGATGACGCTTAACCCTGTAGATATTAACGTCATTTGCGAATCATCCGAGGATAACCGGATAAATAAACAACGCAATTATCATCAATAAATCACGTAACTGCTAAACAATTATCGGAAATATTTCATATTTTTCTGTTTACAATAATTATTATCATATCAACAATTGTTTTCACTTATTACTTCACACCTGTTATTTAGCTTTGAGGTTAAGGGTTGACACTGAAGCTAACAGACGTTAGAAATTTTTTTAGAAGCTTATAACAATTAAATAAATTTAAGTAAAAAATTATAAGTAAAAATAAAAAAAATTAAAAGCATTTTTTTTTTATTGGAAATAATTTGTTGTAAAAATTTGACGATATTAAAGTTAACATTTTTTAATTTTATTTAATGAAAGTTAAGTTAGCTGACATTTAAAAATTTTATTAAAAAAAATTATTACAAACAATTGAAAAAAAAAATTTGATATTTAGAAAATTTGAAAAACTATAAATGCAATTTTAAAAAACATTTTTTTGTTCTAATTTAATTAATGAAGCAAAATCAAAAAATTAAAAATGTCGGCTAACTTTATTAATGAAAAGTTAGCCGACACTTAAAAATTTTCTTATTCAAAAATTTGACTATAAAAAAATTTTTATTTGTAAAAAACTTTAAAAACTGTAAGTGCAATTTTTTTTAAATAAATTTTTGGAACAAATTTTTTTGTTAAATAAAATTAAAAAATTGTAAGGTGACAGCTAACTTGTGTCATACAAATTTGCTTTAAAAATTACATTTTTTATTTTTTTTAATTTCTACTTGTTAATTTTTTTTTGCCATAATTTATTTATTAAAAAAATTATCAAAAATCAGCTAAATAAATTTTCAAAAATTTAATAGCTTGAAGCTAACTTCAGTTTCATGATTAAGGGCTAGAAATTATTCAGGACTTACCTTATTGATTAGCTGACAGTTATTGATGGAGTATTATCAATATAATGATAATGAAAAAATTTTTTTTTTAATTAGAAAAAAAAAATTGAAAACTAGAAGAAGCTAGAAGAAGAACTACGGGCAGGGATGACCCCTTTCACTGCACCACGTTGAGTCTCGTGTATATAAAGAGCTTCGCCTCTGACCAACAGCCACAAGTACCATCTCATCTTCGTCTCAATCTTGGTTCATCTACTGTAGGTGTCACAAATAGATATTATGTATTCTGTCAAGGTAAGTTTTTTAAATCAATCAAAGTCTCCATCCACAAAATCATCTTCAGAGATTTTTATTAAAATCATTAACCCCTGGTCCGGATCATCTGAAAGAAGAAAATTATTAGTGAAAAAAAAATGATATTAAAGTTAGCAGTCACAATTATTTATTAGCAAAAAAATTATTTTAAAAAATTGCATTATTTATTTTTAAAATTTTCTGTGTCAATTTTTTTTGTTAAAAAATTGTAATTTTTATATTAAATTTTACTAATCCACGTGACTGAATATTCATAAGCGGATTATAACATTTATTTGAATAATTAAAAGTCATTGCTCAATAAATGCAAACATCATGCTAGAGATAAAAAAAAAAAACAGTCATGCAAATTACCAAGCTGATGAAATTTTCCATTAAAAATTTTCAACTATCATCCTTGTAATTTTTTATGCACTTTAAAACAAATTTTCAATTATTTCTTCAGGTGACAGCATTAATCGCTCTCTGCGCATGCGCATGGGCTGCGCCACAGAGAGGTGGCGCGGGTGGCGCTGACAAAGATGCCACTATTATTTCTCAGCAACTGGAAGTTGGTTTTGATGGAAATTACGTTAACAAGTAAGTGAAAAATATTGAAAAAAAAAAATAAATTATTGATAATACTAGCTTAATTTCAGAAGAAAATTGACTTAGCCAATATTTAATAACTTTATTAACCAAAAAATTATGGCAAAAAAAATTGAAGTAGAAATTTAAAAAAATGCAATTTTTTAAAAATCATTTTTTGGAATAAACTTTTTTTTTAAATAAAATGAAAAAATTATGAAGTGACTTAACTTTAATATCATGTGATGAAAAATTTGTTTGTTTTTATTTTTTTTTTAATAATTAAATCAGAACTAAAAAAATACTTTTTAAAAATTGCACTTAAAATTTTTCAAGTTTTTTACAAATGAAAATTTTTATTGCAGCTTTGAGACCAGCAACGGAATCAGTCACCAGGAAACAGGACAGCCAAAGCCAGTAGATGGTGAAAACCCGGTCGTAGCTCAGGGCAGCGAGGGCTGGAGTGCTCCAGACGGTCAGCAAATAAGCTTAACGTGGACAGCCGACGAAAACGGCTTCCAAGCCCAAGGCTCGCACATCCCGACCGCTCCCCCAATTCCTCCAGAAATCCAGCGCGCTCTGGAGTGGAACGCGGCCCATCCTGAGCAAGATAACGAAGGACAGGGCGGACCTCCAGCGCGACCTGCTCCAAGAGGTTAAATCCATAGATTTCTTCAATTACGGTTCAGTTTGTAGCTGTTAGCTATAATCTGTTGAGTTCGTGACGACCAATCCTCATCTACTTTCTCTTTCTTCAGGTTAATCTTGCACACCCCGTGCCCCATTATAGTGAACTACTCAATACACATCGGCAATCCTGTATCCTGTGACCTACCGAATATCGTCATAAAATAACGCTAATAACTGAGACCTGACGTAATAACAAACATCCAAGGATGATTAAACATACATTTATACATTTTTTTATCATGATGTATTAATTGTCAGTTTTTATTTTTAATACTAAGGATTTTTTATAACTTTTTGTAAGGTAGCGACACTTTTGTTAATTATTTTAATTATTAATGTGTCGATTATTAATCTTGTGATTTTTTATGTAAATAAAATTGAATTTTAAAAAATTGTTTTTTTTTTTTTTTTTTTTTTTTTTGGAAGCGCGCTTGCAGAATGATTTAAAATGATTGAAAAAAATTATAATCGTTGAAATATGAATTCATAAAGTATTTTGTGATGAAACATTATTAATTTTTAATTTTAATTAATATGTTTGAAATTATTATACCTAGTTACAGAAATTAAACAAAATAATTAAAAATAAAAAGAGAGCGAAATTCACACAATAATGCCCAGCAATAAAACAAAAGCAAGTAAATTAATGTAATGTTATAGTTTAGAAATTGAATGTCAAAACAAAAATAAGTTTGGCAGCAAAAACACGTGTGTTTATGTTGAAGAACTCTGAAATTACAATTAGCTGTAAAATGAAATATAAAAAAAATTTATTACTTAGTGCATTCGCAAATGTTGAAAAAAATTTTTAAAACAATAAATTTGTACAAAAAAAAAAGATAAAAATTAAGACACAAAATAAGATAAAAAATAAGACAAAAAATAAGACGAAATATAACTTATAACATTGATAAGAAATGTTTCGACATGATTAAAAATTTTATATTTTATATTCTGTCAATTTCTCAGTATTTGAAATGATTTATAATGATTAATTGTGAAATTTCCAAAATGATTTAGTATGATTAAACAAAATTAATCATTTTGTTTAATCAGGGCGAAACAATCCGATGGTAATTGGATTAGGTTAAGACTGTTCGATTGGAACACTGAGGTTAATTATCACCGGTAAATATTCCGGGAATTATCGAAGATGCTAATTAATAAAACTTGTTCAATAGAATTGTTATTGAGTAATTTTATGATCTTTAAAATCGATAAGGAGACATTACTTCCTGGATTGTTGAAATAAATTATTGTAATCTGACGTGTAATGTTTATAACTTGTTTTTAATGAGTAATTACTTTTTTAAGCTTATGGAATTATTTTTATGACCTTCCAAGTTATCATTTGCGATTGAGCGACGCCTATTTCAAGATACTTTTTAATTAACAGATATTGATGATTATAAAGATCGTATTTATGTAATTACACTTTAATAAAAGTTGAATGGAAATAATTGGACTATTTTTTTATAATTTCAACATATTCATAGTTTTAATTAGAAATTTTTTTATTAAAGGGCGCGTAGAATTTTTTTAATAAAAAAATTACTCTTGTCTTCTTTAATTAATTAAATTTTTCAATGAACGATCATAAAATATAATTAGCAAATCTTTTATTAATAATCTATCGCTATGTTTTGCAATGTCACTTAATAGTAATTATTAAAATTTATAATTAGTCAATAGTTAAGAATTTTTTAACAAGCTTCATTGTAATTTTTTTTTTCAAATAATTAAATTATTTAAAAAAAATTTTTAAATGTAAAAATTAAAAAAATAAATTTTAGAAGCATTTTTTTTAACTATATAGTTATATAATGAATTTATATCAATTAATTAGTCATTAATTATATAATTAATGACATTAAAGTTAGCAGTCACTTTACAATTTTTTAATTGTATTTAATAAAAAAATTTGTTCCAAAAAATTAAAAAAAAAATCTACATGTTAATTTTAAAAATTTTTTTTTTTTTAATAAATAAATTAATTCTAAAAAAGTGCATTAAGAATTTTTAAATGTGTAATTTTTTTTAACATTTATTTGTTAAAAAATTAGTTTTTTAACATTAACACTTGCAAATTTTTGGTTCTATGTCTTTTTTTATCGGTAATGATTTCTCATTCAAAAATATATCCAGAACAATTGTTGTAGGATAAATTTTGGCAAAAATTAATTATGATGTTGATAAATATTTGATAATTATGACCTAAAAAATTTTGTCTTGATAAATAAGGGACCATTAGCCAATTTTTTTATTATTTTCTAAATAATTTATTTATTAAAATAAAAAAACCTTAAAAATTGACAGCTATTTATTAATTTTACTTCCATTAATTAATTAACTGTCAAAAATAAAAACTTGAAATCTTTTTCATTCTAATAAAAAAGAAATTCATCTTATGACATTGAAAAGTCAAGAAGCTTTGATGTTACCAACGAAAACACTTAATTAAAAAAATAACAAATTATAATTTATAACCTTTTTTTACTCACCAGCCTAAACAGCCAATAATTACGATCAAATGACTTTTTTATGCTGCAACAAAAAAATATTTGGTTATGTAAACAAAAAAAAACTTAGAAATAAATATCTAAAAAAACTTACGCGACCGAATTATAGTACTAAAAACCCAATAAAAAGAATCTAACGGATTAAAATTTATATACAAGAGTGAATTTTAAAATCTTAAATATACAATTCCGTAATAGAAAAAATAAAATTTAATAACTGTTGCGAGAGCTCATCTTCACGTGAATAACTAATGGATGAAAGGAAGAGTAATGTAAATATATTCAAATGTAAAATAACATTATACTGGATTAGATATTACATATCAATATGATCTTGAATACTAAACCTTGTTATCATGTACTTGACATTTTTATCAAAGTAGTAATAAATTTAACTAATCAATTTTTTTCATAGAAAGAGCCTGAAAAATCTGGTATAAAAGCTCTCATCTTCCGGAGATTGACATCAGTTTTCTTCAGTTCTCTTCAGACGGAATAACCAACCAACTGTAAGCAATCCAAATTTATAAGTGAAGTTAGCTGACAACTGTCAATTTTTTTAATTCTTACAATTTAATTACAATAATTAAATTGACACAATTTTAAAATAACATTAGAAATTTCATTATAAATTTACAACAATAAAATTATTAATAAAAAAATTTTTATACAGGAAAATTAAAAAAAATTAACAGCTGTTAGCTAACTTCAGTATGAAAATGAAATTAGCTGACATTTCAAAATTTTTAGAAATTGTTTATTGAAAAAATTTCAATTAAAAAATTAAAAAAAAAATTGTCACATGTAAAAAACTTGAAAAACTACAAGTGCAATTTTTTAGAAATATTTTTTTAGTTGTAATTTAATTAAAAAAAAAAAAAATCAAAAATTTTTAGACGTCTGCTAACTTCAGTATTATTAATAAAAATACTTAAAAAAATTTTGTATTAATTTTTACTTGTAGAATTTTTCATTAATAATTTAATTGTTATAATTAATTAATAATTTATTTAAATAATAATAATAATTAATAACTTATTTCAGATGAACGGCAAAGTAGTCTTGTCCCTCCTCATGCTGGTAGCCGGCATCAGCGCTCAGCGTGGCGCCCGGCCAGGAGCAAGACCGCCAGTTCCCCCCCAGCAGGGAGGAAGCCCTCCAGTGCCGGCAACTCAACCCCAGCAGGGATCCAAGGACGACGTGACTATCGTCCACCAGGAGCAGGACATTAGCCCTGATGGCACCTTCTCTTCATCTTGGGAAACTTCCGACGGATCGACCTTCTCCGAGAACGGCGGCATGAAGACCGTGGGGGAAAACGCCACTCAAACCCGTCAAGGATCCGCTAGCTGGACCGCTCCCGATGGAACCAAGATCAACCTCTCCTGGACCGCCGACGAGAACGGAGTCGTCTTCGCTGGTGACCATCTTCCAACCCCACCACCCACTGAAGCTATTCCTGAAGCTATTCAGAGATCTTTGGACTGGATCGCCAAGAACCCGTCCCCTGACGCCAATAGCCAATAAGCTTGAGATTTTTTTATAAATATGTCTTCCATAAATTGATTTTTTTATGTTTTTTATAAATATGTCTTCCATGACTTGATTTTGCAATAAAAAATTATGTTAAAAAAATTTTTGGTTCTTGTTTTGATTAATTACATGAGAATTGAGACTAATGGTAGTTGGATGAGAAACTAGGCCGCCATTTTGAATAGAGTTTCCACTTCAAAAGTTTTTTGGGTGATATTATTTGATTGATAGGTTATAATTATTTAAAGAATAATTTTTTTTAATCTATATCATGGCAAAATTTCAAATATGTCTGGTTTTCTTTTTATTTGTTGCTCAATTTTATTTCTTCTTGTTAATAATATTGACAGATGTGAATTGGGTTAAAAAACGCTAAATCAATAAGCTTGAGATTTTTTTTTTTTTATAAATATTTTCTATGACTTGATTTTGCAATAAAAAATCATAAAAAAAATATTTGTAAATCTTGTTTTGATTAATTACATGAGAATTGGGACTAATGTTAGTTGGATGAGATACTAGGCCGCCATTTTGAATAGAGTTTCCACTTCAAAAGTTTTTTGGTTGATATTATTTGATTGATAGGTTATAACTATGTATAAAATAATTTTTTGTAATCTATATCATGGCAAAATTTCAAATATGTTTGGTTTTCTTTTTATTTATCGCTCAATTTTATTTCTTCTTAATTTATTTATTTTATTTATTTCTTCTTAATTGACAGATATGTTGTTGGGTTAAAAATCGCTACTTGAAAACTAACTTAAAAAATTTTTAAGAAGACTATGTACAGTTTTAAGATGATACTGAAGTTAGCTATTTTTTTACAATTTTACAATAAAAAAATGCTTCTAAAAATTTCCAATAATAATTTTTAAATAGAATTTTTTTAATTAAATTTAAAAAAAAATTCTAACGTTAACTTCAGTGTCTTGTTTTAAAAAAAAATATTTCTTCTTAAAAATTAGCCTTTAATTTCTTCTTTAATCTAGAAGTTAGATAAATTTATTATTTAAACAAAAAGATATTAATTAAAATTATATTTTAATCTGTGACTAAAAATATTTTGCAGAGTATAACCTCAAAAAGAACAAAGTGAATTTATAAATAATAATAAAAATAAAACTTAAAAAATTTTGTAATATTTGGAGTTTAATGCTTTAAAAAATTAAATTACACATTGATAATATAAAATTAACACTAAAAATTTTAAAAATAAAAATTCCAAAAGAAGAAATAACCTCACAAATTTTTAAAATCGATTCACAATTTTTTATTGATCGACAGCTTGCAGGTATTAACACAATAAATATATACATAATATCAATACAATAATAAATCCTCGTAAAAAACATCGAAAGCACAATCAAAATCCGTTAAACATTGTTCTGGTCTTCTTTGGAAGGATGCGCTGCGATCCAATCAAGCGCTTTTTGGATGAGCGGGGGAATAGGTGGCGCGGTAGGCAAATGGGCTCCCTCTGGCTTGAAGCCCTCTTCATTAGCAGTGTACTTCAGCGAAATTTCCTGTCCATCGTCCCCGCGGTACGAGAATTCACCGGCTGCTTGCATAGCTTCATTCTCACTGCCGGCATTGGCCACTTGTCCTTCTTCCTGGGCCTTGATTCCGTTTCCCGCCTCGTAGGCCCACTTGTACGACCCGTCGGGGTTAGGTCCGTCTTGTGTTTGACTGACAATTGGGATCACATCCTCTGCCGGAGCTGTCAATGCAATTGGCGCTGCAATCGCTATCACTAACTGAAGAAGAAATGAATAAATTAGGTTATTTTTATCAAGTAAGTAAAAACTAACAATTATTAATATAAAAAATTAACTTGATAATTAATTTAGATAATTTTAATAATTGTTTTAACAAATAAAATTAACGTGTGGAAATTTTAATAAATTAAAAAATGGATTTTTTATAAAATAATTTTTGGGAAGAAATTTATTAAAAAATTAAGTCACTTAATAATTTTTTAACAAATAATTTATGACAAAAAAAATTTTAATAAATAAAAAAGTGGAATTTCTTAAAAATAATTTTTTGGAAGAAATTTGTTTAAAAAAAAAAAAAATAAATGGTTAAATGACAGCTGATTTAAATTTAATAATTTTATTGTTAAAAAAATTATTAAAAAAAATTAACATGTAAAATTTTTAATAAATAAAAAATTGAAATTTTTAAGAAGAAATTTGTTGAAAAAAAAAAAAAATGACAAAATGGTGAAATGACAACTAACTTAAACATTTAAAACTCACCAATAATGCGTACATGCTGGGCCGTCGTAAAACTCTTCTAACGACAAAGTGTTTACCTCAGCTGGAGTACTACCGGCATATATACCCCCAGGTTCAGTACATTATTACCAATACGTTAACATAATCGTTTGGTGGTTACTATTGGCTGATGCTCATGTTGGAAGGCTCCGACAGCCTTCTTTTACTCTCAAATAAGTAAGTACACACACGGTTAATGTTATAATGTTTAAACAAGGTATCAAACCATTATAATACTCACAGGGATTATTTATACGTATAGGAATTATTCATACGAGCTCGAGTGTGTTACAACAACAGCGACTAATACTAAACAAAAAAGTAGAAAAAAATCAGAGGTTAGGCGTGTGGTGGTGTGCATCAATGCGACTCTATGCCACCTTCCCGAACAAGGATCACCGTGTCGCAGTCGCGGTGTAATGTTTTAAATGTCATCGGGTCCCCGGCAGCAGTCCCAGTAACAACTACTAACGTTTTTAAAAAGCAACACGCTTACTCAATTGTCATAATTTTCTTGCTTTGCTTTCACGTATCATTTTTTTAACCTTAAATTCATCTCATTACACATTATGAAGATTATTATTATTATGGTGGTGAGTACATGCTCTTACATTTTTAATTATTCTATTAAAATATATATTTGGCTCATGTTTATTCTTATATGTCAAGGTCGTGATGTTTTCTTGGATGCACGCGAATCAATATGTGAGTATTTATATATATATAAAACAATAAGATAAATTTAATTATAAAAAAAATAGATTTAATTTACATAATTTAACTCAATAGGAATAATCAATAAATGTAATTGTTAAAAGGAAAAAAAAAAACTTATTTTTCAACAATTATAAAACACGCACACTGATAAAAAAATTAACTTGACTCAAGAGCCAAACTCTTGAACCAAGAATAATATTTTGAAGAAAATGATTTTCTTGTTTCAAGAAACTCTAATTTTTGAAGTATATGTATTAATATTTATATTCTATATTGTAGTTTGTCAATACAAAACATCTCTCTCAACTGGAAACACTATATATAAGCATTCAGGAAATTTCCTGTAATAGCACTGATTCCAGAGTGTGTTTGTTACATTTGTCCATCGTGTATCCAGAGTAAAACCATAGTGAATACATACTAAAATCATTCTAAATCCAGAATTGATCTTTTATGGGAGTGAATACATAATGGAACCAGAATGATTAGATTAGATTAGATTCACTTTATTTATGCCAAAGCCTAACGGCCAGATGGCAATTTTCAAGTACAAAAAACATAAGAAAAAAATTTCAGAGTACAATTTTTCAATACATTAGAAATTACAATGAAAGACAATATAGTAAATTGACAAAATAGATAGGATGATAATAAAGATAAACAATTTTAGTATCTTATAAAATAATTTTAAAACTAAAATATAAGACCTACTATTTTACAAAAACAGTTTAAATTAACGCGATTTAACTAAGAATTCATACAATAGCTCATTTAAATGTACAAATTAAACAAGTTTATTTTTGAAAACTTAAAGACTATGAGAATTTACAATGTCTGCCGGTAGTTCCTCCCACATACGTATAACTGTTACAACAAAAGAATTTTCATAATAATACGATGTAGTGAAATTAGGCATTTTAAAGTTCATATTATTTTTATTTACCGCCTAGAATGAATAGATATTAAAACTTGAGTAAATCCATACTGGAATCAAAATGTAATTTTAGTGAGTACATACCCAATTCAGAAAGAAATTATACCAAAATCAGAATGTAACCAGAGTGGATACATACTATGATCCGAATAAATACATACCAAATCATGGTATCCTTAGCCGAGTATGATTTTTTCATATTTTTACTTTAACTTACTTTAATGAATGTTTACATGTTTAACCTTAAATTTGAACAATTGAAAATAGACCAACTTCCGTGCCCTACTTATCATAACTACTTATTTTAGCAGATTTTTACATTTCAGATTTGAATGATTTCTTTTAAAAATCAATGGGTTCACTTAACTCTCGCTTGTGTATGTGTCTACAAGCTAGAGTCATAGATGTGTGAATTATTGGCAGGATGCGTAGTATATGGTGGGGAGAGCTGGCGCTGATTACCACTTTTACGTGTAAATCTTATGGGAACAGCATGATTTAACGTTAATGGCGGCCACTGTAACTAAATTACTCCATTTGGTAGCACCTAACGTGTACCTAGCCAATTGAAGGGGTTTTTTTGGTTCAAAATTTTCTACCTGTAAGACTTTCTTATTTACTACAAACATACCTTAAACTTTTCTTATATTTGACTCGTCCTTTTGTATACGTCTGTGGAAGTATATATAATAGAACTGGTCAAACACTACTCAAGTATTTGCTAACAAACTTAATATAAAATTATTTTCTTCAAAATGGTATTCTTGGTTCAAGATTTTGGCTCTTTTGAGTCAAGTTAATTTTTTTTATCAACGCGCGAATCAATACGTGAGTATTTATCTATATAAAACAATAAGATAAATTTATTTAATTAAAAAAAAAAAAATAGATTAAATTTCCATAATTTAACTCAACAGGAATAATAAATAAAAGTAATTGTTTAAACGGAAAAAAAAAAAAAAAACATAATATATTTTTCAATAATTATAAAACACGCACACACTTACACAGGTATTAAAATAATAATCAATAGTGAGTCGTATCTCCGATGAAGATCTTGTTTGAGAACAACCAGTGACATCGTGCAATCGCTATTATGTCGTAGATAGTAAACGGTAATATTTAATAGTAATCGCTTCAATAATAATAATAATAATAATAATAATAATAATAATAATAATAATAATAATAATAATAATAATCTTGTAATTTATACACGATAAATCACTTTCAGAGATTGTCTTCCTCTGGATGGGCGGCGATCCACTCAAGACCCTTGAGGATCGCTTCAGGAATTGGCGGAGAAACTGGAAAATGATCCCCGACGGGTCGGAATCCGTTTTCGTCGGCGACGTAGGTCACCTGGATAGGAACACCATCGTCACCAACGTAGCTGTACGCCCCGGAAACTGACAGGGCGCCTTCTTTGTTCTCCTGGTCGCTTGAGGGAATCACACTACCTTCTTGGCTGACTTTTGTTCCTTTTTCGGTCTCGTAATTGTATTGATAGGAACCGTCGGGGTTCGGGCCATTAAAAGAGCTGCTTACTATCGCTTCAGGGGGTGATGATGGTGATGATGGCTCTGTTCGGTATTGCGGAGCTGCTAATCCTGCCGCTACCAGGGCTAACAGCGCTACTGCTTTCTGTAAAGATATTAATTAATTAATTAATTAATTTTTTTTAACTTGATAATTAATTTGGGTAATTATATTTTTGATTTGAATAACAAAATTCTTTAATTAATAATTAAAAAATTTTTTAATAAATTAATTACAATTAAAAAGATGATTTAAAAAATTTTCATTAATAATTTTTTTATTTTATTAAATTGTTTTTAACTTGATAAAAAAATTAATTTTAATTAAATAAATTATTTTTAAGAAATTATATTTTTTATTTGACTAAAAAAATTTTTAAATTTTCTAATAAATTAATTACAATTAAAAAAATGCTTTAAAAAATTTACACTAATAATTTTTTTAAATTTTCACATTTAAAATTTTTTTTTTAAAAACAATTTAAATATAAAAACATTTCTAATGTCAATTTTTCTTGATTTAAGTAAATTTTTAGTTTTGATTAAAATGAATTTAAAAAAAATGTAAATATTAACAAATAATTTAAAACTTACAGAGAACATTTTAAAATCCTACTGAACTTTTTTGGAGGATGATCCAAAAGTTTGTGTGAGTAGATGGGAGCAATGTTGACTTTTTATAGCACTCCCGAAACCTTCAGTAGATGAGGTGTGAGAACTTCTCCCTCTTATTTTTGAATCATTCTATATACTACCTGTATACAAAATAAAATAAATGTTATTTTTTTGTAATACAGATGAGGTAGCTGGAACGGACATAAAGATACAGAGTTGACATCAGTGTACAAGTGTCTTCACTGATTGCGACAGAGTCCCCCTATTGGTCCTTACACACCAACAGGTACTCAAAGTTATTAATAAAACTCTCATTTTAGCGTAATTACCCAGTTAACTAATTCAAAAATAATTTTTGGCCAGATATTAGCTAATAAAGTAGAATCTATTTTTTAATTATATACCCATCGCAATAAATATATGTTTATGTTTACTTAATCGTCATTAATATTAATGATTTTAAATGTAAGCGGAGATTCGAATGATAGTTTTTTTATGGCCTTATAAAAGCTTGCATCAATGGCCAATGAATTATTTTTTATAAATACATAAAAAAAAATACTATCAACTATTACTGATAGTTTTATTTGGTAAACTTGTTTGCGATGGTTACATAAATAAAATGGTAGGGTAATTTGATTATCTAAACAAAATGTCTGGGACGTTTTAAAAATACATTTGATTAAAAGATTTATAACTTGTGTGATCATCCCGAGACTTTCTAATTACAGTTTTTTTAGTAGTATACATCTATAAATGAATTCTGTAAAACCATAAAGATTATTCAAGGCCATTGATGTTTCAGAAACGCCTCCACCTCTTATTATGTTACGATACTACAAACGATGGGACTGATCAATTCTCTGAGACATTTTTTTAAAATACCTTTTTGCTTCCGAAGGTTGTAATAAATTTATTTATTTATTTATTTCTTTACATAAACACCCAACTAGAGTATAAATTTAACGTCCTTTTACAATATCTTTTTAAATATTTATAAAAAAAAAACAATAGAAGAAGTAAAAACAATAATATTGCACACCTCATAGCGCAAAGTGCGTGTTATACTCCTCTCATCAAGGTCAAGCAATTTTGTGATCTTTAAATGCTTCTATCACAACCATATTGCACTTTTATACAATAATATAAGTAATAAAATCGTTTCATGTTGCTATTAAGATAAAAGCCCCAATTATTGACACTAGAGACAAAGTTATGATTTGATATTTTTTAAGCAATCAAATATCAATATTAATTTTGTTTGTGGTAATGTCTCAAATAATGTTTTTACTAATCAAATTTTTTAAAATGATAATCACTGATATTTACTAATTAATTTTAAATAATTAAATTGATTATCCGGAGACACCAATTATTGGCAGGTTAAAAAACTGATTGATCTAATTATTGACACCTATACTAAGCATGCCTACAATCATCTGCTTATTCTTATTAATCCAAACTTATTATTAAGTAATCAATTTTATTAAAGTTTATTAATAATAATTTCCATAAATGATTAATTACTTTTAAAAATATAAAAATTTATTTTAAAATAATTTATTTAATCAGAAGAGTTACAAACTCTTACAGTTAATTTTTTTAAAGTCAAAAAAAGGCGTCAAAGCGCTGTCGAATGGCTATCAATATGAGATTCAACTTAAAAATTATCAACTAGTTATTGACACCCATTATTTAAATATTATAAAGGAAACAATTAATTTCGATTATTCAATTTATAAATTTTTCATATATTGTTAATTAAAAAAAAAAAAGATGATATTATTAGATGAAGAAATGAATTTAAACGGCATTTAAAAAAATGCTTTTCTAATCAAAGTTGTTAAGAAAATAAACGTTCGTAAGCTGGTTTTAACTGGTGGTAACTTTATTTTTTAATAATTAATATTTAATATTAACTGACAGTAATTTTTTTCAATTTTTTAATTAATTAGAATTTAATAAAAATTTATATTACAGATAATTAAATATATTTAAAAATAATTTAGGGTATCAATATTTACCCTGTCAATAATTGGGGCTTTTACTCCGTAAGAAATTACTTAATTTTTATTTTTTTTTTAATCAAAAAAAATTTTTTTTTTCTTAAAAAATGAATGAGCATTATGAGGCGTGCAATTTTGTCCAAACTTTTTTAATATACTTGCATTTTGAGAAGTAGAAAAAAAAAGAATGTTAAAGAACAGAAAATTTGCCATTTAAACTGTTAAGATTTGAAAAAAAAAAAAAATCTCCCATATATACACAACGTTAATTTGTTACAAAAATGGAAGATTATTTATTTAATTATGAGCAATGAGGATTAATTATAATAATTAATAATAGCTCTCTATAGTCAATATGTTTAAATTTAATATTGCGCAATAAAATAATATAACAAGTCTGGCATCATCAGAGCCGTGAACAGGGCCGTAATCACACTCATTGCGGAACGTTTGCCTGCAGCATCAAAGTATTCCTCAAAGTCATGTCGTGAGAGCACATACACATATATATATATATTTACAGAGGATCATCACCGGTGACCACGCGTGAAAGTTTAAATCCCGTATGGTAGTATTTGGGTTGCGTTGATGACCTCTAGGGGCCACACGACCAAAAAAAAGGTATAATTATTATAATAACAAGAAGAAGCTTAATACGAAGAAGCTGCAGTACAAGGATGATCTACTTAGCAAGGTTCATGATAAATAATCCTGATTTAATGTTACAAGAGTGAAGATGCGAAGGGAAAAACCTGCGAGCCAACCTCATGAGGTTGACCATGAAACTGACCAGTTTTATTTAATCATGGTGTTATGATTATATGAGATTACCGATAGTTTACAAACGGGCCTGTATATTAATTGACCATTATATGTTACGAAATACTCGAATTTCGAATAACTTTCTTCTTAATCTTCAACATTTTTATAATAATTAAAAAATTGTATTAACAACAAAAGTGTCATACATTGTTGTTGGACAGAAGATGCTATTGTGCAACTAATCACTGGTGAATTGAGAGATCTGGCTGACGATTATAAATCTCTTTCACTAGCAAATAATTTATAATTTATTTTTTATTGCTGATTATTTTATGTATTGATTATTGATAAAACCGAGCATCAATCATTAAGAAATGGAAAAATAGGAGCAACGAAAGTAGTGACCTTTATGGTACATACATGTCTGGTCAATAAATACAATAAATATTGTATTACATTTAGGACGATTTTGATTGTAATTGTGATTGTGATTGTGATTGTGATCCCGGACGTGATCATCACAGTTGTTATCGTCGGTAGAAGGTAAAAGGCTCTGCTGGTTTTTGATTATTACAACTGAACAGTGAAAATTAATATGGAATTATGATGAGCTGGATGTTTGGAGAGGAACCGATGACGGAATACCTGAAAGATGTTTTTTAACTTTTTGGAGGAGGAGGGAGGTATTTAATAAGGTATTACTTTATACTGGAGATTCGTCATCTCGAGGTAGTTGCTGGATATATAAGCCGAAGGTATTTTGGTGTTAGCATCTCAGTTCAGTGACAGATTTCAATCGTTGATCATCTGTGGTTTTTAAAATTAAAAAAATGTACAAGTTGGTAAGTATTACTGGAACAATTGAATTTTAGTTTAATTTAGTGTCATTGCAAAGGTCTTGATTTTAATTTGTGCCTTTTCAAGGTTTCAGAGCAATCTTACCGAACATGCTCTATTTCTAGATACATAATTAAGAAATATTACCTTGTATCTTGTGAAATATTGACATTTTTAAGAATATAAGATCATCCTGATGTTACACTCATCAAGACCTTTCATTTGAGTACCCACATCAATTTTTCATATATTTTATATATTTATATATATATATTATATATATGAAAAATATATCAAAAATGCATGTGGGTACTCAAATGAAAGCTCAAATGAAAGAGTGTGACATCGGAATGAGCTTATATCTTTAAAAATGTCAATATTTAAGAAAGTACAGTGCAATTTAACAAAAGTAATTAATTTAATAAAGCAAAATTTTATTCGTTTAATTTTAAGTGATACTTTTTAATACTCAAGTGACATTTGTTATTTTGCAGGCTGTTATCTTGGGATTGGTGTCCGTGGTGTTGTCGGCGCCGGTGGATGATACCACCACGCCAGTTCCGATAGTCAAATTCGAGCAAGACGGCCCCAATCCCGACGGCTCTTACTCCTTTAGCTACGAAGGAGGAAACGGAGTCAAAGCCGAGGAGGCTGGTTCGTTGGTTCAATCTGCCAACAGCGAGTCAGGACAAGCTATGTCTGTCAAGGGATCTTTCTCCTACACCGGTGAAGACGGTGTTGTCTACAACATTGTCTACGTAGCTGACGAAAATGGATTCCAACCACAAGGAGCTCATATTCCAACTTCTCCACCAATCCCTGAAGAAATTCTCAAGAGCCTTGAATACATCGCCGCTCATCCTGAAGAAAACAACATCGACGCTCCTAAACAATGATTTTTTTTATTGATATTCTGTTTAAATAAATTCTTATTTTTCTTCTTTTATATTTATTGTTTCATTTAAGCCCTGGTTAAAAATATTGATTGAAAAGAATTGAAAATTGGTCACTACACGTCTTTAAATTTATTCATATGAATAGATTAATTTAATTTATAATTATTTAATTTTTAATAATTAATAATTAATCATATTAATATTACATTATATATAATTAAATTATTAAATCATTTCTTCTTTATTAATAATTATTTATTATTATAAAAAAATAAACTAAAAAGAAGAAATGTAGTCTAATAATGAGTCCTGATTAAAAATATTTATTGTTAAAAAAACTAAAAAGAAGAAATGTAAATCTTTGTCTAATAACAATTAATAGGTTATTTATTTTAAATTAGGTTATTTAATTTTATAAAATAAATTTTCTAATAATTTAGGGTTATAATTCATAGCTCAAAATATAATTTATAAAATTAAAAAAAAAAAAAATAGAGTGAAGAAATAAATCCATGATTAATAATTTATTTTAAATAGTGCAATTATCTAACAACCAATAAATCAAAATAAGTAGCCAATTATTGACACTAGCTTTACTACCAATTACTTAAACCTAATTACAGGCCTAAGGAGTGTAATTTAACAGCGTTTAAAAAATAATAATAATAAATCATTAGTATATACATATTAAGTATAACCACTTTTTAGACGGTAAAAATTTATTAGATTAATTTGTAAATATAAATTATAAAAAAAATACAATTACAAATATAATAAATAAAAGATTGTGTTGACCGAGTTGTGAAGATTCCGAGCGTCTGGTACAAGTTGATCAGCGTCCAGTGAAAGTGAGAGTGAATAATAATCCTAAAAATAATCTATAAATACAAATACAACTTAACGAACTAACAGCAGTCACAATAACTTTAGCCATAATTTTAGAATATAAAATTAATTTTATCATACAAATTTCATTTAATATACCTTAATTAATACTATAATTGTAAAATAAAAAAAATATCAATTGCGTCTGATTTGATTCCTTAATTTAGGATCTTTAACAATATTATTTTTTTCTTCTTTGGGAGCCGGAGTAACCTCGTCGTAGTTTTCTTCGGTGGTAGACGGTTGTTTCTTCAGCCACTCTAGTGCCCTCTGGATCTCCGGCGGGATTGGCGGCGGCGTCGGGATGTGAGACCCAACAATTTGGCTTCCAAATTCGTCCGCGGTCCAGCTCAGCGAAACAGACTCGCCCTCTGGGGAAATATACTGAACAGAGCCTTGGATCAGCTGTGCCTCGTCGGGGGTTCCCTCGTATTTACGCGAGCCAAATTCCTTTGACAAAATTCCACCGTCTGTTTCATAAGCCACGGAGTATTTTCCAAGACGATCGCCGACATTTCGCGAGTCGCTTATTACCTTTTCTGGCTCGCGAAAATACTGCGCACTTGTTACACTCAAAAGTCCTGCAATCAGCTGTAATGTCAATTTTTAATTAATTAATCGTCAAAAAATAATTAATTTTAAGGTTAGTAATTAAAAATAAAATTATAACTCACCAAAATTCGCATTTTAACACAATTTATTTTCAGAAAATCTCCGAGAAAGTCTAACAGTCACCGCAGCAGTGAACGTAATTACAGAATCCGTAAGAAGAAAACAGCAATGTCCCATATAAAGATCAGACCGCTGATGGTTGCTGTTGTGAAGTTCGCGAGCAACTCTTGGGCAGCTGGGGGCACAGCCGACCTTTATACCGTCCGTCTACACTGTCTAGGCTTTACATAACCCAGGAAAGTGATTAATTTGGCGCAATATTCCTCCTAAAAATATTTAATATAATATATAACCTCTTTTATTAAAATTTAAGTGCTCCTGTGCTAACCTGTAATTTTTTTATATTTTTTTTTCAGCACCTTAAGGGCCCCATTAAAACCTTTGTTCGACAAAATTGCGAGCATCATTATCGTGGGAAACGATGCCTGTTAATTGAAGTTAGTCCTTGGCCCCCTGAACCTGCCTGTCGCTGTCAGCATTAAAAACGCCCTGTAAGTTTTATCGTTAATCTTATAATTGTGATTTTGAATGTATATCGATAAGTATATTTATATATATATATATAAATATAAATACACATTGATACAAAGTTACTCTATACACATGTATACTCACTACCGAGGATTTAATATCAAGTGAAAGGTGTTTTATTTACATGCCGCTTAATAACTCCCAGATTGTTTACCCATTGATCCTGTCTATTATTTATTTATTCGATTTATTAGCATACTTATCAATTAATTAAATATAAAAAAAATATTTTCGCTAAATTTATAACCTTGGACTTTAATTTATTTTATTATTTAATTGTATAATAATTTTACCGCCTTTTTTTTGTTAATTCATTTTTATTTTTCAGTTGGGCGGGGAATCCCGGAATTTTTAAAGATGGAGGCCAATAACCTATAATATTAAAACAATAAACAATAGTTACGATTATTAAGGTGAACTAGGAGTTTAAATTACACGCCTTGATTTTTCAACCAATAAGATATTTTTATTTCATTTATTTTAATTTAGAGGGTAAAAAATATTTTCGCTAAATTTATAACCTTGGTTTTTAATTTATTTTATTATTAAATTGTATAATAATTTTACCGCATTTTTTTATTAATTCATTTTTATTTTTCAGGTCGTCGGGGGAATCCCGGAATTTTTCAAAGATGGAGGCCAATAACCTAAAATATAAAAACAATAAACAATTTACGATTGTTAAGGTGGACTTGGAATTTAAATTGCGCGCCTTGATTTTTCAACCAATAAGAAATCAGGAATCATATTTTTGCGATAATTCAATACTTACTTTTCACACTTATTTTTATTTCATCTATTTAATTCAGAGGATATAATATAATAAAATAAAATATTCAAGCCATCTACTGGTAAAATCATAAAAGAGTTAGATGGCTCGATAAAACAGTTGAGCATCGATCAGAATTTCTGCGGCACAGAAAATCTCTGCCTCTCACTTTGTGCTATAAAAAATTTATATAAACATCAGACATGTGTAAGTATATGTTAATATATTTATAGATGTACTGTGATATATATATATAGATATAATTACATGTGTGGTTATAGCTGGGCAAGTGTTTTACAATGACTAGAGATTCGCATTGCGCGGTTGTCGCGCTTTCGGTCCGGTTCGGCAGCATAGCTCCTACTCGGTCTACCTCGGTTCCATTATCACGGGCGCGACCGCGAGATCGTCCCAGGTCCCAGGTTGTCCGGTTTAGTAACGTAGCCGCGTGGCAAGCACGCATGGTGAGAGTAAGGTAAGAATGATACTGAAATTTAATTTTAAGACATTTAATTTTAAATTTTTTTCTATATTGCAATATTTATAAATAACTCATAAAAAAATGGATTGCCTTTTTTTTTATGGCACTTAAAAAATCACCTCTGGACTAGAATGCCCCCTTAATTATTTTTTTTTTTTTTTTTTTTTTTTAATTAATTAAATTAGAACAAAAAAATTGCACTTGTAATTTTTTAAATTTTTTACATGTGAAATTTTTTAAAAATAATTTTTTTAGTAATAAAAATTATAAAATGTCCGCTAAATTTTTTTTTCACAAGATAAGACACTACTATATAAGTTATTGAGAGTATATATTTATTAATTAGCATAATAATTATTTATTTATCATTTATTAACACAATATTAATTGGTGTGAAATGTTGTATTTAACAGGCTTCAGAGCGGATTAAAATCTACTGGCAAGTAAAGATTGACGGATCATTGTCAGACAGTATCCGGTTGCGCACTCGATCATTCTAGAGTTGAGCTAGATTACCGCGTCAGCGCAAGTTAGTCATTGATTTTATCTGGAAAGCTAACTGGACGATCTGAGAAACTAGATCTTAATTTAAGACACTTGGAACAACAAACTTGTTGCTTCTCCGAAGATCTTACAACAACTCACAAGTTTTATTGGCAGTAAAGGCAATAAAAAACTATACCGCCACGTGTTTAACACTTGTGCTATCACTTAATAATTATCACTTAAAATATATTATATTATTATATTTTATTTATCGTTACAATTTATATTTGTATGTGCAGGTGATATTTAAGATGACGAAGGTATTTAAAGAGATCGCCGAGTCTTGTGGATATCATTCCCATCAAGATATCGTCGGGTGATTAAGTGTTTTCTTGTTATATATTTTTTATTTACAAATCACAAATTTATTTTTATTTCTTCCGAGTGTTACTATTGTTTAAAATGGATCTCATTTATTTACACGGGCGGTAATAAGTGATTTTACTACTCAAAAGTTTGGTTCGGTGGCCTACATTCACCCGGGTTACGTTTTCTGCTAATAAAAGCATCAGCGGAAGACAAGTGTAAGAGATTAAGTGATTGTTACATACGTTTACCGCAACCACAGGAACAAGCTTAAGGTATTATTATTTTTTATTATTATTATTATTATTATTATTATTATTATTTATGTGACCGTATGAAAATAAAATGTGACGAAAATTGATATACTACTAGAAATAGTTCAATGATACAGGTAATGAACACAAGAACTAAAAGTCCTGAAAAAACAGTAACATATATGGGTTATAATACATATAATAGCTTACCAAATGATGTTAAAGATCAAATAACTATTCTTAGTTTTAAAAGACACTTAGTTGATTATATTAAAAACAATATACAGAATTATAAAATAGAATTTAATTATTATATTATATATATTAAACAATTAACGCATTTATGTTAGAGTTTATAATCTAGTTTTTTAAATTATATAATTATTTCTTCAGATAGTATTGTGTAAATTTAATTAGAGAGAAATTACAGGTATTATGATAAAAAGAATATTATCAATCAGCCTTTAAAAAAAATCAATATTATTATTAAATTTATATAGTTAAGCTTATTCTCATAAATTAACAAATAAAATTCAATTGTTTTGTATATTATACTCAATTCGCACTCTCTACCGGACTATAATTTAGTCATAAAGTAATTCAATTAGGAACTTAAAAGGGGTTAGAACAAAAAAAATTTTGTCGCTCTAACCTCTTATAAATTCATTGTTTAAAATATTTTTTTATTTCTTCACAACAATGCGGTTATTTTCATTCTAAATATTTATTTTTTAAATAATTAATATTCATTTTTTTTTTTATACTTGAAAACAATAATAAAAAAATTTATTTAGGCTTTGTAAAGTCTTAAATAATTTTCTGAAATTTTTTAAATATTTATGATAATAAATTTTTTATCCTAATTATAATAAAATATTTTTACAGATAAAAACAATAAATAATGGATTTATTAACAATAGAAGCTTCAAAATTAGCCCTACTAAAAGCACAATCAATGCCGCACAGTAACTCGCGAATAGGAATAATAACAAAGCCAATAAACATACGTAAAATGAGCACAATGGAGGAAGAGAGCTCCGAGGATTTAGATACTAGCACTCATCAGATCGCAGTGATGAATCTCGGGCAGCAGAATAATCACAGCAACAATTACACCTGCAACGACGATTCTGATCTGAGTGATCATGAGCGGGAGCGGGAGCGAGGAAGGCTACTCTCAGCTGGCAGCCGTAGGATTTTTATTGTGCCAGCAACTGCAATAAGTGGTAGTAATCCTAGTGCTCAGATAGGTCATACCACCACCACCACCACCAGCTCTACCGGAAGCGGGAACGGGAATTTAATAAGCAAAAAATCAAGCTGCAGTCGTAATAGCAGTGCCGAGAGCTTTCAAGATAGCAAGTCAAGAAGAAGGGACGAGGAATTAACGATGCGGATCAGCCGTGATAACAGTTTCCATCGGGAGTCCGTGAACGGTCATCACCATCCCAATCACAATCATCATCACCACCATCACAGCCACCATCGCGATCAAAACGGTTTGCATCGCGAAAATTCAGCCCACGGAAGATTTAATCGCGGAGTTGAATTGTACGGAGGCAGACATCGGTATCCAAGCATGCGCTCGCTCAAGTCAAACGCCACCGATGAGCATCATCAGCAGCCGACTACCAGCTGGGCCTCGATGAGCTTCTCCGACGCTACTCCAAGCCAGTCTCCAGCTCGTGGAGCCCCGTTTCATGAGTCCGTCTCAATTCGCTCCCTGGCTTCTATTGGACTGGGGTCCTCCGATGGCCGAAAATTGACCATAAGACGGGTTCCAACCTCACCATCCGAATTGCTGAATATGGTTCAGTCTCCGTAAGTAAAATATTATTTATTTATTTATTATTTCCAGCATTCAGGTCTATAGATGCAAGATCATCTGTACATAGAGATAGATATTACAAAATTATCCTATATTTTACAAAATATTTAAAAATATATCCAAAAAAGATACAAAATGCACAAAGTGAGAAATATTAATATTGCATAAATTTTATCTTATAGTTTAGCGTTTTTTTTACTACAATTTAATATCTTAAGATTATTAGATAACAGGTTAAAATATTTTATAGCAAAATAGTAAGCATTCTTTACGCTAATCCTTTTTTTAATTTTAGGGAGAGACATCGATTTAAATCTAGTTATATTTTGTTTAGTATTGTATAGATCTTTACACTCTTGATAGTAACGCATTAGGGCTTTTACAATAAAAGTTTTCTTAATATCAAGGGGTAAGTGAAGAATACCATGACCTTCGAAATATTTTAACATATGATTTTGAATGGTTAAAATAGGCTTAATGGCGTTATTATAAGTTAATTATTTATTGTTTATTTTTTTTTTCCTCTCTATAATTAAATAATGTGACAAAGTCATTATCTACCCGTCATGAAATTGTCAAGTGTAAAGATTAAACTCATGATGTGTGTTTACTTAACTCCGTCTATTTACTCGAGGATTTACCACGTATTTAAGATAATAAGTTGTGATATAATTTTTAGGCCTCTGGATGATGACATGTCGACGTCAGACACCGATGATTACGGGACATTTGACGACTTGAGCGACTATCATCAGCCAAAACGGCCTCACTGGGCGAATAAAATCCAGTTTGTTTTGGCCTGCGTCGGGTATTCCGTAGGTCTTGGCAATGTATGGAGATTTCCGTACTTGTGTTACAGCAGCGGTGGCGGTAAGTACTTGAGATATCCGCTTATAATTAACATGAGAACCAGGAAATCCGTGTCTTTGAATTGTCAAAAACGTCCGGCTTAGCAATAATAGTATTAGAGTTTTGCTGGTGGTGGTAGTTAAATCAGATAGATGTAGATATAAAATTATTAAACCCATTGTCCTGCTACAAAGCAAGGTCAGTGGATACACTGATTTATGATGCCTTGATGATATTAAACGATCTAGTACGATAATTCTCACTACAGCAGAGAGCGGACGTTTTTGTCGAGTGGTTATTAGAATTAGACAGGTGATTTAACAACTTCAAGCGCTACACTTAAGAGGTTATATTGCTATGTTTAATAGCGTTAAATAATTCAATTTTTTTATTGCAGCTGTTGGGGAGAATGTTTAAAACTTTGATTAAAAAATTTCTTTAAGAAATTTTAAGCCCTTGTGAAAATATTTCTCTGAAAATAATTTTTTATAAGTACGAATAACAGTTCTTAAATGTTTACTTTTTCTTAAAAAGTCTGAAAAAGTGTTACTAAGTGAAAAAAAACTTTTAGTTTGCCAAAAAAGTTTAAAGTAATTCCAAAATTTTAGATGAATTAATCAGAACTGATAAAAAACTTCATGTAAAAAAAATTTCTTGGCCTGATATAAGTACAGAAAAACTAAATTTTTACTTTAGAAAAATTCTTAGACATCAAAGATGTCGTCCAGGTTGATGATAGAATCAAAAACAATGACAGATAAATTCTGTACAAGCATTCAAAACATATTATTTCATTTTAAAAATATCTTTATTTACGTATTTAATTTACATGGTAGAATTACATGAGTTTTATTATTTTTAATAGTTGTTCCTATCCGTAGACTTGAACAAAAGTTTGGTCTAATAGCTTGTGTTTATGTATTGCTTACAAAAGACGTGCTCAGTTATCATGAAAAAGTTAAAAAAATCATTTGATTTAGTTCAAACCATATCATTTTTAAGGAAGTTAAATCACCTCAAATTTAACTCTCCTACTAGGAGAAAGTTTAGCAACCATCCGCCCTCCACCGAAGAATTTTAGTACTAATATTAAAAACCGGTTATTGGGCGCCAAATAATCAAACAAGAGGTTAAAACTTGATCAAGAAACTTGTAGAGATATCAGATAGTACGATTGATTAACCAGCGACTTGGTAGTTAATAACGCATTTCTCTATTACAGCAGGATCGTCGGGATTATCATTATTAATATCAGCCAAGATGAAAGATGGGATTAAGTATCCAAGGTCATGTATCAAGTTCCCGAGCGGGATTGCGCCACGTCCGTTTCCTCCGGTGTTACACATACAAGAATGGTTTTAACGTTTTTAAATTACTTGTAATTCAACACCTACTTTTGTCGCGTGCGTTAACGTGCCCTTGTAACAAATAATTTATAGTCTCACGCGTAGGTGTCATAGAACAAGAAGAAGAGCAAGATCACTCCCGTGTTAATATACATGTATATATTTACGCTCTTGTAAATCGTATCAAGTTGATAGTTTGCCAACTATTGTCTTGATCATTATCATCCTCATAATTTTATCTTATTCTATTTCTTCGTTGAATTACTCTCCATGATTCATCCGAGGATTTAATTGAAATTTATCCTTATTAACCACTTTATTAATTGCATAACAATGCCGACAAATAAAAATTTTACGTATTTTTGTACTTTGTACACGTGTAATAATAAATAATAAATTTAGTATTTAATTGCTAACTTGCGGATGATAATACTGTGAATAATGACTAATGCAAAATAAGATATTTAATAACAAATGACCAACAAGTAATTAAATTCACGTGGTATGCTCGGTATAATCACGCTTATTGATAAAATAATGAATGAATGAATTCTTTAGATATTTATGTTATTAAATGAATTTTTAAATTTAAAATGAAATGTAAAAAAAAAAAAAACGCAAACACGTCATTAGCGAAAAAAATCGTGACACTAAGAGAAGATTTATTCTGAGCGTGTGATGCAATTCGACAAGGTTCCACGTGAATGTAAATAGATCTTTTATCGGTCATTTCAAGATCCGATTTGCGTATTACAACTATCCTTTGTTTTATTTATCCATTATTATTATTAATATGTGTGCTCTTCTATTTAACTCTGTTATTACAGCCCAGCAATAATAGAGTTTAATAATATGAATAATAAATAAATTATTCTTTATGTCAAAACGAACAAACGCAGTTGCGTGTTATGAAGCGGAAGTTTCCCCAAGTAATGCAAGATCGATGTATGAGTTACGTTTGCTTAGTAAACTTGTTACTTGTTCATCAATTACCAACAATATCAAAATATTGAGCCTTCTATTTGTAGGCTATATAAATTATAATAGATGATTACATCACCTGGAACGTTTGTTTTTAGTTTATATTTGCTAACTTATTTTCAATATTTAGATTAATGTTTACCTTTTTTTTTGTTTCAGGTGTATTTTTGATACCGTACTTTATTATTCTCATTGTTTGCGGAGTTCCATTGCTGTACATGGAACTTGCCGTCGGGCAATTCACCAGGCGAGGTCCTATTGGTGCTTTGGGACAAATTTGTCCCTTATTTAAAGGTAAGTTACATTTCTTTGAACTTTTAATTGTTTCTAAACATCGCCGCCATATTGAAACAAGTTCCTTGAAGGAACATTGGGAACACTGGTCAAACAAAAAAACTTTTTTACCGACTGAGTAACTTTAAAAATAATCTTAGTCATAAAATAAAATAAAATAAATAATTAAAAACTAGCAACCATTGCAGTCACTATGTGATTGCCGTGACTTGTGAATTATAAATAAATGAATTTTTGCTTTATTAAATAATGGCTTTTGTTGAATTGCACTGTACTTTCTTAAATATTGACGATTTTTAAGATATAAGCTCATTCTGATGTTACTCTCATTAAGAGCTTTCATTTGAGTACCCACATGCATTTTTTATATATTTTATATATATGGTATTTGTGGAATATATAAATATATAAAATATATGAAAAATTGATGTGGGTATTACTCAAATGAAAGATCTTAATGAGTAGAACATCAGGATGAGCTTATATCTTTAAAAATATCAATAGTTCACAAGATACAAGGTCATTTCTTAATTATGTACCTGAAAACAAATTTTTCTTATTCTTTTAATTATATTGATAATTTTAATCATAAAAAAAATGAATAATTTTTGTCCAACGAACTCAGTTTATTTTTAGACGGAGTTTTTTTGACCTCTAGAGAAAAAATTAATTTATTAGTTATGAATAATAAATTACCGTAAAAAATAAAAGTCTTGACCTCCTGTCGCTTTATGAAAAAGTTTTAAATTAAAAATTCAATTTTTTTTTTTTGTTTGAGTAAAATCCAACTTTAATTTAATGAGTTAAAAATAAATATTTATTTATAAATAAATCATCAAAAAAATATTTTTTTTTCACATTGTTTTATAAATAAACAAATCCCTGACATATTTTCACTCAATAATTTTTTATCAAAACTGATAATATAAAAAAAAAAATTGTAATGAAAAATTCTTGAGATTTTACTCATGATAAAAATCGTAGCGATAAAAATAAGGATTAAGATACTAATTTAAAAAATAATAAAAAAAATTTTTTTTTGTTAAACAGGTGCCGGTTTGTCATCGGTGGTGATATCATTCCTAATGTCAACATATCACAACGTAATAATAGCCTACGCGATATATTACTTCTTCACAGCGTTTAAGCACGAGCACCCGTGGGCGAATTGCAACAACTCGTGGAACACCCCAGCCTGCTGGCACCCGGAAGCTCACGGTAACCGCAGTAAACCCAACACTTCCCGGACACCGTCGGAAGAATTTTTCGAGTAACTGGACTTTCGTTAGTTCTTCAAATAAAATGATAAATAATGAGCTTGCGAGAATTATTTATACTTAACAAACAATAATATTAACAATTAAACCGGTGCTAGGCAAACTTACCGATTTAAATGATGAGTAACGGTGGATCTTGTATGACTTTAGCAAGAAAGTACTCCAGATCAGTGCTGGAATTGAGGAGCCAGGGATCCTCAGGTGGGAAATAGTCGCCTGCTTGCTCACCGCCTGGATTATTGTCTACTTCTCAATATGGAAGTCCATCAAGTCGTCGGCTCAAGTCCGCTATTTAACTGCGACCCTTCCGTTCCTCCTGATTTTTGGGTTTCTTCTCCGCGCCCTTACTCTCCCCGGAGCTGACAAAGGTTTACAGTTTTTCTTTCGTCCACGATGGGAATTACTAGGTAATGCTAAGGTAACAAAATCACTTCACTTTTAATACAATAAATTTTTTTAATTATAAGGTCAAAGCCCCAAATATTGACAGGGATCTAAATATTGACACCCTAAATTATTTTTAAATAAAATCATCTGTAATAAGAATAACTATATAAATTTTTATTAAATTCTAATTAATTAAAAAATTGAAAAAAATTACTGTCAGTTAATATTAAATATTAATTATTAAAAAATAAAGTTACCACCAGTTAAAACCAGTTTATTTTCTTAACAACTTTGATTAGAAAAACATTTTTTTAAATGCTGTTTAAATTCATTTCTTCATCTAATAATATCATCTTTTTTTTTTTTTTTTTAATTAACAATATATGAAAAATTTATAAAATTGAATAATCGAAATTAATTGTTTCCTTTATAATATTTAAATAATGGGTGTCAATAACTAGTTGATAATTTTTAAGTTGAATCTCATATTGACAGCCATTCGACAGCGCTATCACGCCTTTTTTTGACTTTAATCTAAAAAATTAACTGTAAGAGTTTGAACTTAATATTAAATATTAATTATTAAAAAATAAAGTTAGCACCAGTTAAAACCAGCTTACGAACGTTTATTTTCTTGGCAACTTTGATTAGAAAAGCATTTTTTTTTAAATGCCGAGTTTAAATTCATTTCTTCTTCTAATAATATTTTTTTTTTTTTTTTTTAATAACAATATATGAAAAATTTATAAAATTGAATAATCGAAATTAATTGTTTCCTTTATAATATTTAAATAATGGGTGTCAATAACTAGTTGATAATTTTTAAGTTGAATCTCATATTGACAGCCATTCGACAGCGCTATCACGCCTTTTTTTGACTTTAATCTAAAAAATTAACTGTAAGAGTTTGAACTCTTCTGATTAAATAAATTATTTTAAAATTAATTTTTATATTTTTAAAAGTAATTAATCATTTATGGAAATTATTATTAATAAACTTTAATAAAATTGATTACTTAATAATAAGTTTGGATTAATAAGAATAAGCAGATGATTGTAGGCATGCTTAGTATAGGTGTCAATAATTGGGGCGAAGGTATGTCAATAATTAGATCAATCAGTTTTTTAACCTGCCAATAATTGGTGTCTCCGGATAATCAATTTAATTATTTAAAATTAATTAGTAAATATCAGTGATTATCATTTTAAAAAATTTAATTAGTAAAAACATTACTTGAGTCATTACCACAAACAAAATTCAACGATATTGATATTTGATTGCTTAAAAAAAATTAAATTAAAACTTTGTCTCTTATAGTGCCAATAATTGGGGCTTTTACCTTTGTTGAAAATTAATTTTTAAGAGTATTTTTTCTAAAAATAAAATAGTTGTCAATTTTAAATCAAGTATTTAAATTAAAGAAACTTTTTTAACTTAAAGTTAATTGCAGGTCTGGGTAAACGCAGCAGCTCAAATATTCAATTCATACGGGATCGCATTTGGCTCGATGATATCCTTCGCGAGCTACAATAAGTTTCACAACAATATCTTTGTGGATACTCTTGCGGTCTCGCTGATAAATGGATTGAGTAGCTTGCTCGTGGGCATATTTGCCTTCGCAGTAATCGGCAATATTGCCGTTGAACATAATACTACCGTTAATGCGGTACTCACTGATGGTATGTGTATATATTAAATTTATGTTGGTATTACGTATGTTGAGCATTAAAAGTTTCTATTTGTAAACCCAATACCGTTTGGTATTTAACATTTTATTTATATTCAAGGACCTGGTCTGGTGTTCGTCGTGTATCCTCAGGCCTTGGCGAAGATGCCCGCGTCCCAATTGTGGGCCGTTTTGTTTTTCTTTATGCTCGTCTGTCTCTCATTGAATAGTCAAGTACGTATCATTTCACGGATATTTATTACTAACTATAAATGGTAATTATTGATATAATTATCATCTAGTTCCTCATCCTCTATTTTTATTTAATATAAATCTATTTATAGTACAACTCCTTTTTATATCGTAAAGCAGTAAAGCAGTGCATTAATTTTAAATTATAAAATATTAATGCCTTTTAAATGTTTCATTTCCTTTTCTAAAATAGTTCGATTATGATAACTTTTCGGAGTATAAATAGATTAGAATTTTGCGATAATGAAAAATTGTTTATTTATTTATTTTGTTTTGTACATGTCAATGTGGTTTGTCAAAAATTAATTTATATAATTAAGAGACTAAGAAAAATTTTAAACGGGTATATCTTTATCGTAAATTGGGTTTGATATTTTTTCAGCGATAGTCATTTATGATTTAAATAATTTAAAGAGTAAGGAAAATTTTCCGACGAGCATATTATTATTTTTAAAGGAATTTTTGTAGTTTAATTTGGTATCATCAGAAAGGTCTTCATAAGAATTAGTGCCTTTTGGTTTAATAGATTTTTTAGTAGTCAATTTTTTATTTAAAGTTTTTCGAGGAGTTTTTAATAGTTTGTTGGTTCTATAAATTTGTTCCGTGACATTTGTCCATTAAATAATTAGTAATTGATCCTGTGATAGCACTATTATTTTTAAAATTTATTTAAAAAGTACCCAGACATATGTATAGTGTCATAAATATCAAAAAATCATCAAGTCTAAATTTTCTGATTTACAATCTTTAATTTTGAGCTCTTATAAGACTTCAAAATTTTAATAAATTAATTCAAAATTTATTTTTTTTGACCAAGTACTTAGAATCTAATTTTTCTACTTGAAAAAAATAAATTTTTAATTAAAAAAATTAAAAAAAATTTTTTTTTCAGTTTGCTGTTGTTGAAGTGGTAGTGACGTCAATCCAAGACGGTTTTCCCAATTGGGTGAAAAAAAATTTACTTTGCCACGAAATGTTAGTTCTTATTATTTGCGCTGTTTCTTTTATTTGTGGATTGCCCAATGTCTCACAGGTAATTTAAATTAAAAAAAAAATTAATTTAATTTATTAATTAAATTTTATTATTTAGGGTGGAATATATTTCTTTCAACTGATTGATCATTATGCAGCATCGATTTCTATCATGTTCTTGGCATTCTTTGAAGTTATCGCAATATCGTGGTTCTACGGTGTGCGAAGACTATGTAGCAATGTCTCGGAAATGACTGGAAGAGTACCATCGATGTACATTCAATTTTGTTGGCTTATAGCAGCACCTCTTCTGATAATGGTAACCGTATTTTATTTTTATTATTCTGACTGAGTATCCTCGGGCTAAAAAAAAAAATATTCACGCGATAAAAATTTATCAAATGAATTGCATAAAAAGTATATGAAATTATTTTAGCCTCCGGGTATTTTTATTTGACTATGATATTAAAAAAAAGTATCAAAAAAAATTTTTTGACCATTCCAAAAGAAGAATTATTAATAATGACGACTAATATTAATGAGATTTTTGTTTGTTTAGTCGGTATGGGTATTTAGTTTGATTGATTATCAAAGCCCGACGTATGGCAATGGAGCTTATCAGTATCCATGGTGGGCAGAAGCTGTTGGTTGGGGAATAGCGTCCTTGTCACTGATCTGCATTCCAGCATTTGCCGTCTACGTATTAATTAGAGCCGAGGGCGTTACTTTCACCGAGGTATCTTTATTTAGCAATACAAACGTTACTTGTTCAACCTTCACCAATTTTTGCTGATTATTAATAATTAACAATCGGATAAAAAGCATTTTTTTCTTTTTTACCTTATTATGTAATAACTATTTTACAATCACTAGTTCAATTGATTCGCAAATTATAACTCGTCCGATTGCGGCAAGAATTATTTTTTTTTTTTAAAGAATTATTTTTTTTTTTTAAAGGTTACACCGTAATTTTGGATCATATTTTTTTTTTGTAATTTATTATGAAATTATTTTCATTGGTGAAGAAAATTTATTTTGATTTAAAGTGATTATAGGAAAAATCGATTACCGTTGACCTTTCTGGTAAATTAATGGTCAAGTTTGTGCGAAGAATCTTATTAGTTGTCAATTTTCAATCTAGAGAGTGATTAATTATTTTTAATTTAATTTTTTAATTATTGGAATAATTATAATAATAATTTTAAAGAATTATTATTATTAACATTAAAATTAAAAAATTCTAAATAATAATTAAGAAATGACCTTGTATCTTGTGAACTATTGACATTTTTAAAGATATAAGCTCATTTCGATGTTACACTCATCGAGACCTTTCATTTGAGTACCCACATCAATTATTCATATATTTTATATATTTATATATATTATATATATATGTATATATGAAAAATATATCAAAAATACATGTGGGTACTCAAATGAAAGCTCTTGATGAGTGTAACATCGGGATGAGCTTATATTTTTAAAATATATATTATATATATATGTATATATGAAAAATATATCAAAAATGCATGTGGGTACTCAAACGAAAGCTCTTGATGAGTGTAACATCGGGATGAGCTTATATCTTTAAAAACGTCAATATTTAAGAAAGTACAGTGCAATTTAACAAAAGTGGTTTTAATAAAGCAAAATTTTATTTATTTTTATTTCAGAAACTACGCAATTCAATTAGATCACATTTTGAGGCCTGCAAAATATGTCGTCAGGAATACTGCGCAAATCCGCTGCATAATTTATCGGATACCGATAAGGAGCAAATCAAACAACCACTCCAAGAAATGAATAGTCTGATAAATAACGTACCCATCACAATAATACCCGCCAAGTCTAAAACATAATAACAATAACTCCAATTAACTATCAATAGCTAAATTAGATAATATTCATAAAAAAAAAACAATTATTTATAATTCAATATAGTCAAACAATAGACCCGGCTGACCAAAGAGTGGCCATTTATCACATAAAATAGAAGCCGATTAGTTGAAATTACCTATTTAGAAATTTCTGAATCACATGCATGCCAAGACTGCGATATTACAACGATTAAAATACTATTTTTATTAGTATTAAGGTAGAAGTACTGTTTGTGGCCAATGTACCGTTTAATATTATAATTTTTTATAAATTAATTCAAATGTTAACTGGTTAAAAACGGTGCTAAGGTGGCTAAAAACAGTACTTCTATTCTATTATACCGATAAATAATTGTAGAAAACTCTTTACTTGTTTTGATGATATTTATAGATAATTTAGTTTACAGAGTGATATATATATATATATACATAAAGTCTTCCATATACTCTCGGTTGTCGATATTTACCATACATGTATGGCATAGTTTTAAGAGCTCTTTTGTTCTATCACAAATTAATTAATTCAATCATCTGAACGTTGAGTGCTAAAAAAGCGAAAGAATATTTTTAATTTAAAAATATTTGAGAGCTTTTTTAAAATTTTTTCTAAAATTATTTCAAAGAAAAAAAAAAAAGAATATTTAAATATTTTATATTAAAAAATATGTATGTATAATTATTAATGTATGAATGTATGTAAGGGATGAAAAGTGTTTAAATTGGTCAACATAGTAGTTTTCCAGATGACAGAGCATCATATACACTCGAGTGTAATGTAATATAAGTGAAGTGATGAGCTGGGTGGGGACAATGAGGGTTGCGCGGTACCTAGAAAGCTTCTCTCTTCTCCCTGGTTCATGTCCGTGCATACAGTGTACACCAGGCAACTGTATTGCTCTCACGAGGGTTATCATCTCAGTAAGCTCTCGTGCGTACTCGCAAGCTCTCGTCTTCTGTAAGAATCACACTTTAAAAAAAAAATTACACTTTTAAAAATAAATTTAAAAAATTAAAACCATAATTAACAATAAATTTAAATATTATTATTAATTATTGTTTAAATTTTTAATCCAAAAATTAAGAGTGTAATTTTTTAAATAAAATTGTAAAGCTTGAATTTTTTGTGTGATATTGAGCAACTTGTTGCTTGGCTTATTGCTTGTTGCTCGCAGTTAAGCTCACGTGTTATAAAATCAAAGGATGCATATGTATTTTATTATTGTCTAAGTTGTACTTGGAGTAGTTAAAATTAATTTAAAAAAAGGTGACTTAGTTTAAATTAATTAATTAAAAAAAAAAAAAGTGAGGATTAATTAAATGTCAATCATGTATTTGCATTCTCGAGCATTTAATAAGAAAACTTATGAATATAAAATCTAAAATGTACATATCATGTTTACTAATCAAAATTACTGATTTAAAAACTGATATTTAAAAGTTAAATAAAAAATAATTATTTTAAACAATAGTGCTTACTTCTGTAATAGGATTTTAAATAACAGTCTGCTCTAAATTATCAAGGACGAAGCTTATTATAGAATATATTGAGTGAAGTAGACAATTAACTAAAGACAGAACAGAGAACATCAAAGGATCGATATTAAAGCCAATAATTACAAGATATTATCAAACTTAAGGTATAATTTGTCGTTAGTTAGTAAACCAATAAACTGTCTTTATACTTTATTTGAAAGATTTAAAGAGCTGTATACTAAGATTATTATTAAATTACCCGTAATAGCTACATATTGTATGAGCTTTAAAACGGCACAAAGGATTTTATTTGGATGTTTAATAAAATAATTAATTTAATTTTTTTCAGGAATTATGTCACCGCGCAACGGCTCGTGTATGGCCGAATCGAGCTCCGTACGCAGTTTGTCCTCCGATGATGTTTCTACGAGTAAATCTTCTAAGAAGAAATCCTGCTGGAAGCGCGCGACTGATCCAGCTCACCGACGTGGTCGCCGGATTCAATTACTTCAAATGCTCGTGCTTCCTTTTATACCTATACTTGCGCTCATTGTACAGACTGCAAATACTCTTCATGATATACTTATCTATCGGCAAGAAGTATCCGATATTGAGGCTCAGGTATATTTTTTTTATTTATTAAATTCTATTTAATCTCTAGCTTCTTTAAATTCCTTTTTAAAATACCGGGAATAAAAGTTTTTTTTTTCTGTACGGATTCAATTTTGCAAATAACTTAAAAAGTACTTTATAGATTTTTTTTTTTAATTAAAAATGACCATTCAGATTTATAAATACTTTAATAAATTTTTTGTTTCATCAAAATTGACTAATCTAATCAGAAGATACAGCTGATTTTTAAATCCGTACAGAAAAAAATAACATAACCTAGTTCTTCGATTTTATAACCTCTAAAACTAAATTTAAAACTTATTGTTAAAAATTATTTTTATTTAAAAACAGCTGTAAAATATGAAGAAACAAATTTTTTTTAAACTCTGAAATAAAATTTTTAATTTTTTTGTAATTCTGTACGGATTTGATTTTGCAAATAACTTAAAAAGTACTTTATAGATTTGTTTCAAATTAAAAATGACCATTCAGATTTATAAATACTTTAATTAATTTTTTGTTTCATCAAAATTGACCAGTCCAATCAGAAGATACAGCTGATTTTTACATCCGTACAGAAAAAAAAATTTTTTAATTTTCTTGGCGGCAAGTTAAAAAACATAACCTAGTTTTTGGAGCTTATATCCTCTAAAACTCTATTTAAAAATGATTGTTACTTAAAAATAGTTGTTAGTATGTAAGATGTGAAGAAATTTTTAAAATATCTGAAATAAAAGTTTGAATTTTTTTTTCTGTACGGATTTAATTTTGCAAATAACTTAAAAAGTACTTTATAGATTTGTTTCAAATTAAAAATGACCATTCAGATTTATAAATAGTTTAATTAATTTTTTGTTTCATCAAAATTGACTAATCCAATCAGAAGATACAGCTGATTTTTACATCCGTACAGGAATTTGAAAAAAAAAAAAAAAAAACATAACCTAGTTCTTCGACCTCATAACCTCTAAAACTAAATTTAAAACTTATTGTAATTTAAAAAAGCTGTAAGTATGTAAAATATGAAGAAACAAATACTAATTAAACTATTTAAACAACAATGGTAGAGAAACATGGTTGTAAATAAATAATGAAAGTATTTGAAAAGAAATTGTGCCAAGGACTAGTCGTCTCATTTATCCAGCAAGAACTTTTATAATGTCCCGATCGATCAATTGTGGAGTACGTAGAGTATGTAGTACGTAGTCATCGACTATGAGTGTCGTCGCAAGTAAATATAGCACGCCTATCATCCTTTCTGCACCTTCTTCAGCTGAAGTAACTAATAACTAAAATGTAATAATTCACATTTGTGTACTCGAAGATGTTTACAATGTCTATTGTCTCATCCATTAACTAACGTAAAGTGGAAAAATAATTCTCTATTACTTTTTACTCACCATTTATGTCTTTTTGATTGTCAGGTTACAATTGCCACCGACCTGGGTAAGGTCGTCACCGGGATGCAATTGGAGCGCTCCGAAGTTGCCTTCTTTATTTACACAAATGGCAGCCGGTTAAGATTCAATTTGACACAGCGGTACTTTATTACCGATCAAACTCTGATGAATATGACTACCTGGCCGTTGGCTTCCGTACCGAGGGATGAATCTAAAACACAAACTTACGAAGTGGTTAATAAAGAAGCATTTCAAGCTCGGTTGGATGACTTTAGGCAAGTTTTTTAGGTTTTATTTCATTCTTACCGATAGTCAATTTATTATGATAAGTATTTAGGCTGCATTCAAAAATACTCTATCTTTAGATACATAATTAAGAAATTACCTTGTATCTTGAGAACTATTAACATTTTTAAAGATATAAGCTCATCCTGATGTTACACTCATCGAGACCTTTCATTTGAGTACCTACATCAATTTTTCATATATTTTATATATTTATATATATTGTATATATGTATATATGAAAAATATATCAAAAATGTATGTGGATACTCAAATGAAAGCTCTCGATGAGTGTAACATCAGGATGAGCTTATATTTTAAAAATATATATTATATATATGAATATATGTAAAATATATGAAAAAATGCATGTGGGTACTCAAATGAAAGCTCTTGCTAAATATAACATCAGAATGAGCTTATATCTTTAAAAATGTCAATATTTAAGAAACTACAGTGCAATTTAACAAAATTCATTTGTTGTAAAAGTCCAAAAATTTCATAAAAACATACTGAAGTTAGCTGAGAATTGTCAATTTTTTCAATTTTTATTATAAAAAATTTACAATTATAAAAATAATTTTTGAAATTTTCACATGTTAAATTTATTCTTTAATCATCTATTAAGAAAAATCTAAAAAATCGACAGATAATTTTGTGTGAGTATTTTTATAACCTAAAGGTGGGCGATGGATATAAATAAGATGGCGATGACGATACGATATGAAAGCTAGTGCCTCTGACGTTAGTCAATAACATCGATTTCAATGTCCTCGGGTTTACGACGGCGTAATAAATTCGTTCAAAGCAACATACTGGACGTTGATGATATAGGGGTTGACATGGATGATCGCCTCTTGCCCATTTAAAGTGTGCAAATAGTGCGCGACGATAACTTACTTTTTTATATTCTTTTTTAAACCGACCATTAATTCAAGTCTTTTATTCTCGTATTTATCTTCCTTTTTTTTTTTTTTTTTTTTTTTTTTCTATTAATATATTTAATCACTCAATATTCAATAAAACTAATAATCACCTGTTATTTTTTATTTCAGAGAAAAAATCAGCCCGGAAGAAAGCACTATGGCCGAAGTAATGGCCTGGTACACCAGCGTCAACGCGGCAATGCTGGACATTTTGACCAATCAAATAAAAGAAACGGACAACAGCGGCGTTTGGAGGTTATTTTCAACAAAAATTATCCAATAAATTTAGTTGGTTATTAATAAATTAATTAGAGCTTGATTGATCGGTCGCAGATACCTGATAGCTTTTAAAAACCTGCTGAGGAGTATCGAGAGCATTGGCATTGCTTCTGTCTACGGTATCAATTACTTCGGACGAGGGATACTCATGGGCGACAATTACGTCAGTTATGTTCGACACGAAGCGCTTGGAAGAGATCTCTTGAACGGATCGCTTACCTATGTTCCAAGCTTGAAGAGTTTGTATGCTGAACTCACGCGTAATATGCCCGGTTACGGCAGAATTAAATCTAGGTAATTTTTTTATACGACAAATTTTATTTAAAAATTTTTTAGTAATCTTGCAGTCACTACGTGACTGCCGTGACTAATAAACAATAAGTAAATAAAATTTTGCTTTATTAAATAATGACTTTTGTTAAATTGCACTGTACTTTTTTAAATATTGACGTTTTTAAAGATATAAGCTCATCCTGATGTTACACTCATCAAGAGCTTTCATTTAAATACCCACATGCATTTTTGATACATACAAATATATATATTAAATATATGAAAAATTGATGTTGATACTCAAATAAAAGGTCTTGATGAGTGTAACAACAGAATGAGCTTATATCTTTAAAAATGTCAATAGTTGACAAGATACAAGAACATTTCTTAATTATCGATATTTTCAAAGATATAAGCTCATCTTGATGTTCCATTCATCAAGAGCTTTCATTTGAGTACCCACATGCATTTTTGATATATTTTTCATATATACATATATATAATATATATAAATATATGAAAAATTGATGTGGGTACTCAAATGAAAGGTCTCGATGAGTGTAACATCAGAATGAGCTTAAATCTTTAAAAATGTCAATAGTTCACAAGATACAAGGTCATTTCTTAAAATTGTGGAGACAAATGTTATTTTAAAATTCTAAAGCCAAATTTTTACTTCAAATTTTATTTTAAAACATAAAATTAAATTAAATTATAATATACTAAATACAAAATTAAATTTCTCTACCCTAAATACTATTTTTTTTTATTTTCAGGAGGGATGAAATACTGAGAAACTTTCGCCGTGAACCAAACTTTGATGACGCTATAGCTTATTTCGACTCGATGGCGATGTATGTTGATGAGTTACGTAAATTGCAAAGCGCGTTACGGGATATGATAAGGTAAATAGCTTTTAATCATTTTTATGGATTTTATATGTTAAATTTACATATAAAAAGTACATTTAACATATAAAATTCAAACCAATATCATTATAAATTTGCACTAATATATTTTTTAAAATAAAAAATTGATTTTATTTTAAAAAGCAAATTATCCATCTCGTTAATAATTAAAAACAAAACTAATTACCATTGATTAATTGACAGAGACTATGTTAACTCAACGTTAAAGGACGCGAGCAATAAACAAGCAGCAGGGATCGCTATTGTCGTGCTAGTGCTCGTTATATCACCGATAATTATTATTCTCGTCCGCAACGCTGTCGCAACCATTCAGGTTAATAAAAAATAATTGCATAAGTGACTTTATTAAAACAAACAATATTAAATTAAAAAAAAAAAAAATTTTATTTAATTGTCTTACTTGTAGATGTATGCCGCTAACTTAGCGCAGAAAGCTCGAGAATTAAAGCGTGAAAAGCGTAAAAGCGACACCTTACTTTTCCAAATGTTGCCACCGAGCGTCGCCCAACAGCTCAAGCAAACGCAGCAGGTTGAATACATCCAGTATGCATGTTAATAAAAACTAATCTTCAATTTGGTATCTCCAAGCTAATTACTCTCATTAAAATCCAAATACAGGTCCCCGCTGAGTACTACGAGGCAGTTACTGTTTACTTTAGCGACATTGTTGGGTTCACTGAAATTGCCGCAGAAAATACGCCATTAGAGGTTAGTTTTTTTTTTTTTTTGTTCTATTAATTAATTATTCGGAAAGAATACTTACAATAAATCAAATAATTTTCTAGGTCGTGACATTCCTGAACTCGGTGTACAAATTATTCGACGCACGTATAGAGTGTTATGATGTTTACAAAGTGGAAACCATTGGCGACTCTTATATGGTTGCCTCCGGGCTACCCGTCAGAAATGGTAATTAACAATTATGTAACTGTTATATGACATAACGGTAAAACACTAAAGTTTAATGACAAATTTTTTTTATTATTTTATTCCAATAATATTACCATCAAAAACTTTAATTCATCTTATGAGAATGATAAATTAACCCTAGTAACAATTTGATAAAAGCCTTGTGCCAGCATGGATCAAGATACTTTATTTAGAAAGATTTTAGATCAAGAATTGGTCCAGATTCTTGACTAAGATTATTGGTCAAGACTTGAGCCAGACTTTAGTGAAAATTTGACCAGAAATCTCGGGCCATCTATTGCTAAAGTTTGGGACTATCCTATAGAGTAGAGGTTCTCATTCTATTAAAATCGTAGCCAGCTAAATTAATTGTTTAAACTTGTTGACTAGATGAAAATTGTCATATGGTTGTTAGCATAAATAAAGTGAATCTAATCTAATCTAATCTAATCTACTAATTAAAAAATTTCACATGTAAAAATTGAAAAAATTAACAGCTGTTAGCTAACTTCAGTGTATCATTAATAAATAAGACTGAAGTTAACTGACATTAGAAATTTTTTTATAATTTCACAGTAATTAAATTATTATAAAAAAAATTAAATTTTTAACCAGGTGACAAACACGTTTCGGAAATAGCAACCATGGCGTTGGATCTTCTAGCGGCTTCGTCGGTGTTCCAAGTACCAAAGCGGCCGGGTGAGAGGTTACAAATACGCAGTGGTGCTCATACCGGTCCAGTAGTTGCAGGGATTGTTGGTACAAAAATGCCCCGCTACTGTTTATTTGGCGACACTGTCAACACTGCAAGCCGAATGGAGTCTACTGGCGAAGGTTTGTCTTTAACCTCAAATATTAATATTGAAATTGAGAGACATAATTCCAATGTCACAAATTATACTAAACAAAAATAATTTCCAGCTCTGCGTATCCACATAAGTTTAGAAATGAAGAAAGCCCTGGACGCAGTGGGAGGTTTTAAAATCGAGCATCGCGGGCTAGTGGACGTGAAAGGCAAAGGGCTGATGGACACTTACTGGTTAGAATGCAAAGATGGCGGAATAGCACGAGCAGCTGAGCTAGACCTTCCGACCTTCTTCGAGGACGTAAGGCCGGTATTCATGAGACGACTAAGAGAGGACGACACGCTTTGATGTGAGCCGTACTCCCGGCGGGACCTGTGGTACCTAAACAGACAAGGTCCTCTGCGTCCTAACCCCTGTATTCGTTTGTCTCAACCGAACCTTATCGACCACCTAAAGAAGCCCGGAGCTCCAGGAAAAAAGACCCGGCTGTCCCAGCCGAATCTTCACATAGCTCCCGTGAAGGAACCTCCACAATCGCAATCCAGCATCGAGTCCCAGGACTCAAACCTAACCTACGAGTGCACTAGGTCGACCAATCCTCCAAGCTACTCCCCAGCCAGCCAGCGAAGCAGGTACTCTCAACCTAACTTACCGACCTTGATGATTCCTTACAGCGACATCCACCGGCACAGCGTGTCACCTGACCGACGGATCAGAATGTCCCAGCCAACGCTGTACTCCAGCTTCTCCGGGATGAGTTTCACCAGCATGAAAGGCCACAAGCTTTCCTACTCCAGCCTCCGAACCTCCGGAGACACCAGCATCAACATCCCCCACCAAGAAGAGCGTCTTTCCATCCCTAATGTCCACTCTATGCAGCTCGGCGAAAATGCCAAGTACTATGGCGCCCACCGTGGGTCCAGGTTGTCGCAGCCGGACATCCGGCGAATGCTGAGAGCTCCAGACCCGAATAAACGCGAGCGGCTGTCCCAGCCGACTCTGGTCACCGGTGACTACTATCCTCCACGCATGCAGCACCAGAGGTTATCCCAACCCTGCTTGCTGAGCACCTGGAACGAGAAGCCAATTGGTCTACTCTCGCCGATAAAGCAGAAACGCTTCGGACCGGCTGTTAAGGTAAGTCAGCGCGAGCGCCTCGCTTCTCTGGACTTTGGAACCAGGTTCCGGTACAAGGAACCCAAAGGGAACAGAGATCGGTTCTCCATTCCGGAACTGGAGACCCAGAACGATCTGAAGCTTATGGCTGGATCTCCAAAGCAGAGATTTAGTCTTGACAGTCAATTGAATCCTGACAATAGAGTCAGGAGGCTCTTACCGATTGTTAGCTCGCCGATCTTCGAACATGGGTTGGGTAAAAACGGACACTTACCGACTGATGGTCTCGAGAGTGTGATTGTCGCTACAGCAACACCTCTTATGCCTCCGTCGGACCGACAGTTCCTCGCGCCTATTCTCAAAACTCCGATCGCACCGCTTCCTTCTTTACCGGTTCCTGCGACCTCTCCGAGGGAGCGCATGTCTGTCCCGGAAATTCGCAGCGCCAGCTTGAGGAGGTTACTCGATCCGCCGTCGAAGCAGCGACACAGCATCGCTGGGCTCAGACAGACCATTGTTCATCAGGAGACCAGTCAAGAAAACGATGATAAAGAACCGACTGATGGTAAAACAGTTACTGAGGTTGAGAAAGTGGAGGTGAATCCTGGGACTGAAGATGTCAAGCCTAAACATATTCAGAGACACTATTCCTATACTTATGACACGAAAGACGAGCCGATGGAAGTTATTGGCAAGCTCAGTGTTAAGTTACCCAAAAAGAAATATCTTGAAAGCAACTTTGATGAGAACGAACAGGTTATTACCACGGTTATTGAAACTGAGATACCTATGATACTCTCCAGTCCCAAGTACATGAAGAAGACTCATGTCTATGGCAGCGAGGCGCCCAAGTGGATGAAAAAGTGCCTCGAGACTCCCGGGAAGAAATTTGATTCCGACAAGAATCACGTGCTCAAGCTTAACAACCAGAGGAATATTATTAAAACGAACAAGAGTCCAGAGAAAAATAAAAAGAGAATCACTTCCCCTTCTAAAGGTGCCACGAGAAAGTATCCTGAGATCAAGGAGAATATTGGAGAGGTTACCTCACCTGGATTGGGTGTCCAACAGTGCAAGACGAGCCCTAAAGATACTTGTGTGAGAATTAAACCTTCGGGGAATGGAGAGACTAAGTATCAAGTCGCTATTAATTCGGAATTCTCCGAAACTGATATTTGTAGGTTGTATGGAATCGATTGCGATACTGACAGTGAAGATTCTACTTCGGTATAAATATAAATATATGTATAAGTTGGTTATTTATTTAGATTTATTTTTTAGGACACTTTTTATATTTTTGGGGCGGGGGGGGGGGGGGGGTAGACATTTAAAAATATGTTTCAATATAACAGATAACCTCAAAATTGTTAGGAACTTTTGTAATCGTACTGAAGTTAGCTGACAGCTGTTACTTTTTTTGTATTTTTATAAATAATTATTATTTTTTTAATTTCCACTCATAATTTTATTTGTAATAATTTAATTACAGTAGAACCTCGATAAGTTAAAATTCAGGGGGAACGTAAAAAAATTTGAGTTATCGAGAGTTTAAGTTAGCGAGGTTATTAAAGTGAAATTTTTATTTTAACTTAACGAGGTTTATCGATTGGAAACTCTTGAGTGTGAAAAAAGATACATATAATTCAATAGAAATGACATAGATTTTCATTTATTAATATATTTCTTTGCCTACATTCAATTCTTCAAGAAAAAGTCAGTAATTTTCTTTTGTTTCATACTTTAGTAAAAATTAATTAAGCTTTTGACAAAACCTTTTGTTTGTATACATACTTAATACGATGACTCACTGATATTACTTTAAGTTATGGAGGTCACCAAAATATTAAAAAATTTCTGTCAGTTAACTTCAGTGTGAATAATTAATCATCAGGTGTTATCTTCACCGAACAAAACAAAGTATATAATATAATATATAATTTTTATTAATTATTGACATAATTGACAGGCACTTACGGAATAAGCATTTGATTGTTTAACAATATATTTAATATTTGATACTAAATATCTATCGGCCAGCGTTAACCTAACTATTTACATTGCAGTAAATAATTTTGTACTAATTGTTTTTTTTCGTATGAATAGAAGATTCTCTAAAATGGAGTTAGACAATTTGCTAATTAGAACGTTGATTTGCAAGGAAGAAATTTTCATTGATAGAGAAATAACTGCTGAGGTGTTAAAGGAGAGGTTTGATGACTTATTCAACGAATGTTAGGCATATCTAAATATGTCGGACCGTCAGCGAGGTTAGGTGGCTACTCCGATACACTTGAATTTAGTTCGTTGCTATATTCAAATATGCAATTACAATTCATGTAAAATTATGAAAGATATATAATTAAATAATTTTATTTAAGTTGACAAAATTTAATTAAATATTTGAGAAAAAATTTCTCTGAAAGAATTTTCTAATCTTGCAGATGACTGGACTGTTTTACAAATATTTTCATTTTTATATTCTCCTTTTTTTTTATTCTAACAATATAACTGTTTTTCAACAGTTCATAACCTTTCTTGATTATTATCTGATTTGTAAAGTTTATATTAAGACATTATTCGTAATCATTTTCTCCTTTGTAAATAATAGTTCGCATGCAATCGTAGTTAGAATTTCTGTTACAAAAACAATAGAAAAAATTACACATTTAATCTAAATCAATTATTAAAATAAATAAACTAACCTGTTGAAGTTCTTGAAAGCTTCTTTGGAACATTCCGACCAAGTTGCGTTGGCGCTGTGATCCATCATTGCCATTATATGACCGGTTCCACATTTTGATATGTCGTCCAAAGGAATTCCTAGCCTAAAAAATATATAACAATCATAAAAATTAATCTAATTTATTTAATTAATTTTTTTAAAGGCATTAAAATATTAAAATTAAATTTTTTAAATTAAAAAAAAAAAACCTAAAATAATAAATTAATTTTTTATAATAGGTTATGGACCCAGTTCATGATTTTTTAGGTTTTGTTTCATATTTTATTTAATTAACTATTTTGAAGACATTAAGATAGTAAAATCCCACAAAAAAGAGTTTCACTGTAAACCGTCGCGCCAAGTACACGTCCAACTATTGTTACAAACCTTGATAATTCAATTTTTACAAAAAATTATTAAATCGAAAAAAAAATCCAAGTACAAAAAATTTCAAGGTTTGTAACAATAGTTGGACGTGTACTTGGCGTGACGGTTTACAGTGAAACTGTTTTTTTGTGGGATATCTCTTTTTTTTGTAAAGAATATATTAGGGGATATAATCAAATATTTTATCTGCATTTTTAAATTCCAAATATGTACTTTTTAAGTTATGCAGCTAATTCATTATTCATGGATTTTTGTAATAATTTAATTACAAACGAAGTTATTACAATATTTTTACTTTAAATGATTTGCGTGACTGACCAATGTGCTTCTAAAATACAGTGGTAATGGTTTTGTGGCTCCACCTACTGTCGTATATTGAAATTCTAAACTGAAGACCAACTACTTATGGGCGCTAAGTTTAGTATTTAGTATACTAGCTATTTAGATGGTAGAATAACAGAGTTAAGTAGTGCCAACTTTGAAATAATAAAATTCGCCCTAAATTTGTAAAATCTCTCGTAGAATCGAAAACAGGCGCAAGTAAAAATTTTCAAACTCGCGATTAGTTAAATAATTGTTAAGACCCAACATTTTTTTGTAATATATGTATAATTGGTAAAAAGAAACTTATTAACAATGGTGTAAAGTGTTAGTGTCTTAGTAATAATAAAAAATATAGAGCTAAATATGTAAAGAGGTTATGTTGACATATGATTAGAGAATAAAGACACGTTGTCTCACGCCATATGTTGGACGTGTACTTGGCGCGAGACACTATCGTGTCTTCGGATTAAATTTTTTTTATTAAAAAAAAAGAAGTAATTTTTTTTAAAAGGTTATGGGCCCAGTAGATAATTTTTTAAATTTAAATTATTTTAAAATAGAAAATGAAATAATAAATAATTAAATAACATAGAATAAATAAATAAATTCATACGCTATTGCGATTAGTTGTGCAGCGCTAAAAGTAAACTCATGTTCTTTCCACACCAGCCCTCCAAATGCCGATCCAGGTTCGTTTTCCTTCACACAAGTGCACGGGCCCATAATGTAATTATAGTAGCAATTGCTGTTCGTGTCCGCAGGATCGATAAACAGGTATCTACAATTGAAGGTTGTGTCAGATAAAATTGCAAGGAATTCATATTACTAAGTTTCTTTACTTTGACATGTAGGCAAACATATGGTAGGATGTCGCTTCAAAGTCGTGTGCGTTGTTCAGGAACCAGGTCGTCATTGTTTCCAATGTCAATGGAACACTGTAGTACTTTATCGAATTACCGTTCGGCAATTTTCTTACTTGTGCTGAACTCCAAATCTCATTCTACAAATTTATTTTGTTAAAAAAAATTTATTAAAATAATTAAAAATTTAACTTACATTCGGAATAACAACTCCAGCAATATTAATTCTTATTTTAGGAGTTTCTAATTTTTCAAAAAGCTCGGCTACTTTGTACCACGGGGCAATTATTTCTTGCAATGTCTGATTTGAATAGTAGTAATCAACAACTGCTACTATTGAAAAGAAAAATGTGTCTGAAAATTTAAAATTTAGTAATTAAATCAACTATATATTATTAAGAGAATAAGTAAAATTTTGTCGCCATTAAGAAATTACCTTGTATCTCGTAAACTATTGACATTTTTAAAGATATAAGCTCACCCTGACATTGCACTCATCAAGACCTTTCATTTGAGTACCCACATCAATTTTTCATATATTTTATATATTTATATATATATTATATACATATATATGAAAAATATATCAAAAATGCATGTGGGTACTCAAATGAAAGATTTTAATGAGTAGAACATCAGGATGAGCTTATATCTTTAAAATCGTCAATATTTAAGAAAGTACAGTGCAATTTAACAAAAGTCATTATTTAATAAAGCAAAATTTTATATTGAGGTTGCTAGTTAATTTTATTATTAAAATACTTACCATCGCGTTTGCTAGAATCTAAATAATAATTGTAATCCTTAGAAGCTTCAAATACCTAAAAAAATATTTTTTAATATTTTTTATGATTATATTAACAATTTTTCATTTACTTACATGTCTAGAAGCTTTAATTTTTATAAAATCATTGCGTAAATTTTCTATATAATACACTGGAGTTTCTGGCCCAACAATCACGCCGCTTGATACCCATCCAATCTGTTAAAAAAAAAAAAATAATTTGTTAATTTATTAAAAATTAATTAATTAATTTAAAAAAACCCACCGCATAGAAAAGGAAGCATATTTTAATAATTAAATCTGTAAAATAAAAAATAATTGATTTTTATAAAAAATTATTGAATTTTTTTAATTAAGAATAATAACACTTACTCATTTTAAAAGAATTTTTTAGTCTCTGACATTGAATTTAATGGAAGACATTACTACCGAAAAAGTAATTAAGATTTTGTGATAATGAAAAAGGTAATTAAAGCTATTAATATTTTTTAATTAAAAAAAAAAAATAATTTTTTTACTTGAATAAAATAAATAAAATTCTTAAAAATAATTTAATTTTTTTTTCTGTAAAAATTTTCTCTTTGTTCTCATCAATTGTAGAATAATAGAAAGATGGTATGGTATACATATGTACATAAATATATTTCTTGTCCCGATTAATAAATTATGCTTTCTATCCCACGCGGGGACATACGGGGCCCCGTTTACTCTTCGAGTATGTTCTTCTTACACTGTACAATTATCAATTTTATGTATCAACAGGTTGTATTTTATTTATCGACTAAAGTTCAATTTCAAGATTCTCTTACTCAATGATTAAATTATTTTTATTTTAATTAAAAAAATTACTTCATGAATCATTACTGAAGAATCCACAGTTCTTTCATTAATTTTTTTATTAAATAGTAATAAAAATATTTTTTTAATAATTTTTTTACTAATATTTAAAATAAAAATTAAGAAATTAATTTAAAACTAGTAACCTTGCAGTTACTACGTGACTGCAGTACCTAGTGAATTATAAATAAATAAAATTTTGCTTTATTAAATAATGAATTTTGTTAAATTGCACTGTAATTTATTAAATATTGACATTTTTAAAGATATAAGCTCATCCCGATGTTACACTCATCAAGAGTTTTCATTTGAGTACCCACATCAATTTTTTATATATATATATATATACTTACTTAATAAGATGACTCACTGATATATTACTTTAAGTTATGGAGGTCACTAAAATATTAAAAAATTTCTGTCAGTTAACTTCAGTGTGAATAATTAATCAGGTGTTATCTTCACCGAACAAAACAAACAGTTACTACGTGACTGCAGTACCTAGTGAATTATAAATAAATAAAATTTTGCTTTATTAAATAATGAATTTTGTTAAATTGCACTGTAATTTATTAAATATTGACATTTTTAAAGATATAAGCTCATCCCGATGTTACACTCATCAAGAGTTTTCATTTGAGTACCCACATCAATTTTTTATATATATATATATATACTTACTTAATAAGATGACTCACTGATATATTACTTTAAGTTATGGAGGTCACTAAAATATTAAAAAATTTCTGTCAGTTAACTTCAGTGTGAACAATCAATCAGGTGTTATCTTCACAGAACAAAACAAAGTATATAATATAATATATAATTTTTATTAATTATTGACATAATTGACAGGCACTTACGGAAGCATTTGATTGTTTAACAATATATTTAATATTTGATATTAAATATCTATCGGCCAGCGTTAACCTAACTATTTACATTGCAGTAAATAAAACCATAAGTCATAACTCATAACTCATAACATAACCTCTCGAGTGATTTCATAAAGTTATTTAAGTACACAATTTTTGTTTTACAAAAAAAAATTAATATAAAAATATATATATATATATATATATATATAAATATATATCAAATACAATACTTAACAATAATAATTATTTTGTACAAATATATTATTTAATAATCAAAAATTTAAGTCTTCGATCGATTGACGCCATTATCAACAATGTCAGCTGACGGAGGGACTAAAAAAATTATTTGATCGCCTTCTTTGATGAAAGATGGCGTTGGCGTTTCCGGTCGCACTTCTACACGCAGCACTCTGCTTTTGTTACCCACCATACACTTGAATCTCGAGTCGACAGTCACTTGCAGATCATTACCTCTCAATCTGAATAATAAAAATTAACAATTAAAAAATCTATCCATTTATTAAGATAAAAATTAATAAAAAGTCAAACTCATGTTAAAATTCAAAATTTTTGCCCGTAATTTGTACATTTAAGTCACTAGTTGGCGTGACAGTCTAGAAGCTCGGTCCCTATTGGTAAGTGACAATTGCAAGACACCACCTTGTGGTCGAAAATAGCACTACTCAAACCAGGTTATGTATTCTTATGGCGGTGACGTACTCGCCATCTGGCGTTAAAAAATTTAACTACTCAAACCAGATTTTGGTAATAAGCTTTTTTTTTTACACGGTTCCATTTACCAATAATTGGAACACAAAATTTAAGCTGCATCTGATATTGACAGGTGAGTATAGACGGCGCTGTAATCTCTCTTTCCATACTTGATTTATTTTGTATTTAGATCAAATGACTGATGACGCATGCGCATTAGGGGTGTCAAAAATTGGTGCACCCGATAAAAGATTAATTAATATAGTGTAAAACAAAAAATTGGACAATGTTAATTTAAAATTCGTTAAAAAAAATGAAACCCTAATGTCTGTTAGTGTCAATAATTAGCGGTTTAACCTTAAATAAAAATACTTACTGGTAATATCTCGTACAAAGAACACCAACAAGTTCTCCAACGCGATTTTCCTTGGCAGTGATGGCAAAAATAAAATCATTGCCTTTATTAGAGTGAATAGTAATCAGCTGATCTTTCCCAGGTGAGACACTTAGTCCCGTTATTTCCGCAATGGGAATCCCCTTTTTCATATTTTTAAATTTCGAGCTCTCTAATTTGTAGATGGCGTGTTCAGTGACAACAAGAACGCGATCAGCTTGTTTGTCAAACTTATTGGTTTTTTTAATAAAGGCACTGAAGAGCACAGTCTTGAAATGATCAGTATTCTTTAAATTATTAATAGAAGAATTAAAGACATTGTACTGAGGATTTTCATCAGGCTTGGCCAGATAATTTCCTTCCCAGCGTCTCTCCTGGCCCCAGTACTGTCTCTTGGGCCTGAGGGCAGCACCAGCGGCCATTTTTAACCTCAACTGCGGCCAATCTTCGCGTGGGATCACCCGTAGAATCATCCAGGCCCGCCAACGCGCGTACATCATCTTCAAAGCGGGAATCACCGGCCTTATTGCGTAATTCTCATGCGGCCAAAGCAGCAACTTGCCGTAATTGCGCATTGTCTTGGCGGTTTTAAAGGTCTTTTGGAGCTCGCAGATGTACGAGCGCTGCTTGTAGCGGCGGTAGTGCTTCACCATAACCAGGACGGCTTTAATTTTCTTGTATTTCATCCGACACAGGTAACCGCGCCATTGCTTCTGCAAGAGGACTACGATACCCGGTATCAAGTCACTTCTTGCTTTCTCAAGCGCGAACAACGTTCGAGGCGAGCGGATAAATATTTTTGTATGACCGTATTTAACGTCATGAGCGAATCCTTTTTCTTCCATCAGTGTACGCACCGCCTCTTTGTCATTTCCACCGCGGAAATTCGGCCACGTGTACTGAGATATCATTTTGTAACGCTTTAAAAATCTGTCGTAGCGTTGACGGTAGACAAATCCCGCTCGCCGGACTAGAATGTTTTCTACCAATCCTAGATACCGGACCTGGTGCTCCACTCTTTCTTCGTCAAATACTACGGGTGATTTTACTTCGTTCGGTTTTATGCATCTTATGTAGAATGGCTCTTTGCTGGTGAGGTTTTTTATTAAAGATACTATTGAATTTTTAAATAATGTTCCTGCTGTCAATGGCCTCTTTGTTGTCTGTAACATATAAGTGATTTATTATTATTATCATTTGAGATTAAATGGAATAATAACTAGCAACCTCAGTCACTATGTGACTGCCGCGATTTGTAAAATATAAATAAATAAAATTTTGTTTTTATCAAACAATGACTTTTTTTTAATTGCACGGTATTTTCTCAACTATTAGCGTTTTTAAAGATATAAGCTCATTCCAATGTTACACTCATCAAGACCTTTCATTTGAGTACCCATATCAATTTTTTTTATATTTATATATATATATTATATATATGTATGTATGAAAAATATATCAAAAATGCAAGTAGGTACTCAAATGAAAGGTCTTGATGAGTGTAACATCGGGATGAGCTTATATCTTCAAAAATGTCAATAGTTCACTAAATATAAGGTCATTTCTTAATTATTAATAATTTTAAAGATATAAGCTCATATTGATGTTACACTCATCAGGAGCTTTCATTCAAGTACTCACATGCATTTTTGATATATTTTTCATATATTTATATATATAAATATAAAATATATGAAAAATTGATGTGGGTATTCAAATGAAAGGTCTCGATGAGTATAATATCAAAATGAGCTTATATCTTTAAAAATGTCAAGAGTTCACAAAATACTAGGTCATTTCTTAGTTATTGATATTTTTAAAGATGTAAGCTCATCTTGATATTCTACTCATCAAGAGCTTTCATTTGAGTACCGACATCAATTTTTGATATATTTTATATATTTATATATATATCATATATATGTATATATGAAAAATATATGAAAAATTGATATGGGTACTCAAATGAAAGGTCTCAATGAGTATAACATCAGGATGAGCTTATATCTTTAAGAATGTCAATAGTTCACCAGATACAGGGTCATTTTTTAATTCTTAATAATAATTTTAAGGGGCCAGGATGATTAATATTATTAATGTTATTATTATTTTCTCTTTTTTATATTTTAATCTCAAATACTATTTAAAAAAACCAAAACTACATACCTTAGCAATATTTTCAGCTCCTTCAGGCCACATTGAGCTAACAATCTTATTATCGCTATTATAAAGAAGTCTTTTAAAGTCCTGAAACAAAGTATCTTTGTTCTTGTCCAAAAACCCATGAACATTATAAACCACATCACCAGCATAATGTTTAATCCTGAACTGAGTTTTATGCTGAAGTTCTTTATCCATCGGATTTAATTGCCGGGAGGTAAAGTGTTTGTGATTAGCCAATCGCTGATCCATTGCTTCAAGCAACATCTTAACCAAGTCAAAAATAAATAAATAAATAAATAAAAATTCAGCAAACAGCAGATGAAAAAACAAACCTACCTCATCAGTAACTTTTCCGACATTCAAGCAAGCTTCGTCCATGATAGCAATGATGCCTTTGTGTGCCTGCTCAACAAGTTCGCAAATAACCTGATTGTTGAAGTACTTAACAGCTTGCCAGGTGATCCCTTCCCGCTGGTACTCTTCTTGCTCGCGTTTGAGGACTAACTCAATAAACAATTGCTGGAGCTTCTCATTGCAGTAGTTGATGCAGAACTGCTCGAAGCTGTTGGTGTTGAAAATCTCAAACCCGTAGATGTCCAAGACACCTATAAGAGTTCCCTTGTAGCTCTTGTATGAATTTCTCTCATCAACATTTATCGAGCCGTTAATTCTGGACACTATCCAGGAAAACAGTCGCTCGTAGATCGCTTTTGCAAGCGCGTCTCGTCCATACTCAGCTTCTGCCAATGTGTGGTTCTTCTGCATGACCTCGCCTCCAGCTGCTATCACTCGTTGAGACAACGCGGTGCTCAACGCGCTCGGGCTTATTGACAGCCGCTTTGCGGACTCATTCAGCGCTCCTTTATTCCCGATTACTAATTTATCTTCTTCTAGTGTGAATGTTATGTTACCCTTGATAATATTTATGTTTAATTAGTTATTGTTATTATTATTATTATTATGCAATAGATAATTATTTATGAGAGATAAAAATACTCACTAGATGCAAAATACCAGCGATAATACTCCAGACTGTTTCTATCTCACTTAAATTGAAACCTAGAATACTCATCGCTGATACAACTGCTTTGTACTCTGTTCTATCGCTTACGCTTGTTTTGCTATCTTTGCCGTGGCTAGTGTAATAATATCTACCGGCGTCGGCTATCAGACCCAGTTTATTTAATTCATTTTCGCTGCATCCATTCAATAACTAAAAATATAAATATTTTTTTTTAATTTAAATATTTGATTATTAAGCAGGAAAAAAATTAAAAATAAAATGAACAAGTTCAAAAATAAATAATTTAATTTAAAAATTTTTAAATATTTTTTTTAAAAATCATAGTCAATTTATTACGATAAATATTTAGGCTGCATTCGAAAATATTTTTAGATATATAATTAAGAAATGACCTTGTATCTTGTGAACTATTGACATTTTTAAAGAAATAAGCTCATTCTGATGTTACGCTCATCGAGACCTTTCATTTGAGTACCCACATCAATTTTTCATATATTTTATATATTTATATATATTATATATATGTATATATGAAAAATATATCAAAAATGCATGTGGGTACTCAAATGAAAGCTTTTGATGGGAGTAACATCGGGATGAGCTTATATTTTTAAAATATATATTACATAATTGTGAAATGACCTTGTATCTTGTGAAATATTGAGATTTTTAAAGAAATAAGCTCATCCCGATGTTATACTCTTCAAGACCTTTCGTTTGAGTACCCACATCAATTTTTCATATATTTTATATATTTATATATATATTTTTATATATATTATATATGTATATATGAAAAATATATCAAAAATGCATGTGGGTACTCAAATGAAAGCTCTTGATGAGAGTAACATCGGGATGAGCTTAAATTTTTTAAATCGTCAATATTTAAGAAAGTACAGAGCAATTTAACAAAATTCATTATTTAATAAAGCAAAATTTTCTTTATTTATAGTTTACAAGTCACGGTAATTATTGAATCAAAGAAATAAAATTTTATCAATAAATAGATAATAAATTGATAAACTGATAATACTTACTTGATAGAAACAATGAAAATTCCGCTCTCCTTTTTGTTGATAAACGACCCGTGACTTTTCGAGCAAGTAATTAGTAACGTGTCCGCCCAGTGGATCGCCTTTAAAGTCAAAATTAATGTCCATATACTTTCCGAAGCGCGAGGAATTGTCGTTTCTGTTGGTCGTAGCATTGCCGAAGGCTTCCAGGATTGAATTCGATTGGATTAGAATATTTTTGACCCTAAAAATTTTTTTTAAATAAAATTATGAATAAATTATTATTATTAATAATATTATAGAATTGAATGTCTAAATTACCTCTCAATTTCATGCTGGCCAGACAAATTAGTTATTGCAGCAATGTACTTCATTATTATTTTACTTGCTTCCGTTTTCCCTGAGCCGGACTCACCGCTTATGACAATGCAGGTGTCCCGGCCCTGCTGTTTCATTTCACGATGCACTGCATCCGCGATTGCAAATATATGAGGCGCATTCTCGAATAATTCTCTGTCTGTTAAAAATATATGTTTAAATATTTTTATATTTTATTTTAAGAATAAAATTTTTTTTTAATACTTTTTTAACCTTTCGTTATGTACGTTAAAGATATAAAAATAAATTGTTATTGAAAAATTTATCAGTTTTAAAATATTTATTTAAATAAAATTTTTATTAAAAAAAATTTTAATAAAATTCTTATTCAAAAAAATATTAATAAAATTATTATTAAAAAAAGACAATAAAATTTTTATTAAAAAAAATTTATTAAATAAATTTAATAAAATTTTACTATCGCAAAAAAACGAAAAAATAAAAATTCCTAAAAGTAAAAAAATTACTTTTGTATTTATTAATCTGTTCGGGTCCATAAATATTAGTACTCCTGTAGGGATTAACACTGACACAGACCTCTCCGATATAAGTATAGTATTTACCACCATTGAACCTAAAAAAAAAAAATAAATAAATAAAAATATCAAGAGAATAAAAACCTACGAGACAAAAGTAATAAAAAAAACAAATAATCAACTGGTATCTGGTCTAGTATTTTTAACCTCCGATAACATATCTGTAAATCCATATAATAATAACAATATAATATCATTAGCGGGACATATATGAGCATAATACATTACTTATTTATAAAAAATAATAAAGTGAGTCATAGATAGGCTGTGGCCTGAAGAATCATAGCGGTATGGTGCGTTATGGGTTCTGGTTTGAGGACGAGGATTAAAAATTAAAATCAACACTCAACAATTATTACAATTGCTAATTGTTAATATGCAGATCAAGACTCTTCGTGATATGACTAATATATTTAATTTACAAGCTTTGGAGATGGGTACATCTAAGATGACGAGTCATGAGTCATTAAAAGTGTTGTCAGTAGGTCAGAAATAAATAAATGCCGACTTCAAGGCCTCGGGTGCGTTTTTTCGCGGCTGGATTAATAAAATTAATAAAATTTGACACACCCAGGGGAGAAATTTCATCAGTTAGACATTTTAAGCGTGTAAATAGATAATTTAATTACCTTGTAATTTTATTAGATTAAATAATGATAATAAATATGTCAAACCTGATCCGAAGGTTATCAACGACTTTGGAGACTGTTATTTCATCCAGGAGAACAAAGTCCCCGATTCCCACTGACTCTTCTTGGGCCATTGTCCTAAAAAAAATTTTTTTTTAGTTTTATTAACTCCACGAATTTATTTTTAATTTGTAATTGATAGCCGAGAAGTTAATTAGCGGATAAACATTTTTGTCGGCACTCATTGGAGAGCAAGCGTAACCGACAAACTCAACACAAACGGGTGGTTGTATTCCAATTGATATTGAAACTATCAACTGTCCACTAACCCCCACCTGATTGTCCTATATATACGAGTGACGTCATCAATACAGAGAAATTTAGCAGCAAGTGTTACTTATACCAATGTGTACATAAGTGGTGTGCATTTGTAGTACATACCTCTTATAAAAATCTTGGAGTGCTGGAAGAAGTCGGTAAGACAGAAATTTTCATCACACTAAAGTTGACAGACGTTAAAAATTATTATGAAAATTAAATTAGCCATCTGAAAATTTTTAGAATTTTTTTTTATTAAAAAAAAAAATAATAATTAAGTTAGCTGACGTTTTTTATTTTTTGATTTTGCTTAATTTATTAAATTAAAACTAAAAAATATTTTTTAAAAATTGCACTTACAGTTTTTAAAGTTTTTTACAAGTGACAATTTTTTTTTTATTTTTTTCTAATCATTTTTTCAATAAAAAAAAATTCTAAAAATTTTTCACTTGTCATTTTTATTAATTTTAACATTTGCAATTTTTTAATTAAATTTTTTTTATAATAATATCATTATAATGAAAAATTTCAATTAAACAATTAAAAAAAAAATTTACACATGTTAAAAACTTGAAAAACTATAAGTGCAATTTTTTATAAATATCTTTTTAGTTGTTATTTAATTAATAAAAAAAAATCAAAAATTTTTAGACGTCTGCTAAGTGTCATTTTATATTTTTTAAAAATTTATAATTTTTTAAAGCTTCTAAAGAATTTTTTTATACATTTTTTTTGAAAAAAAGAAAAGTCTTACCTGAATATATATATAGTATAGTATATGTCTATAATTCATTGTGTTGTTTACATTTACATCCACAGGCGCTACATGACAGCCAAAAATAAAATATTTTATTAGAGAGTTTATAAAAAAAAAATTAAAGTATTTTAATTTATAAGCATGAATAATTATTGAAGATAAATTAATAAAAATGAATGCAGATTCTTTATCATTTGAAACTGTAGTTATAAAAGTTGAAAACAGTGACAAGGTAAGAGGGTTAGTTATTATGAAATCAGCTGATATGACAATTGTTATAATTAATAAATTAATTTATAGAATTCAACAAATTTTTATAAAAAAAAAAAAAAATTTTAATATCAGCTGATTTTTTTTTATAAAATATCTAATAATAATAAAGTTAACCGACACTTTTGATTTTTTTATTTTCCTTAATTTATTAAATTACAACTAAAAATATTTTTTAAAAAAATTGCACTTATAGTTTTTGGAAGTTTTTTAACAAGTGAATTTTTTTTTTATTTTTTTCTAATCATTTTTTCGATAAAAAAAATTCTAAAAATTTTTAAATGTCGGCTAACTTAATTTTCATAATATCTAAGGTAAAAGACCCAGTTATTGACATTTGCAATTTTATTTTAATTAACAAAAAAAATTAACTCTAATATAAATAAATATAATTTTTGAATTATAAATTTTAAGATAATTGATTTTTTGAAAACATTTTATTTTTATTAATTAGAATAAAATTGCAACTAGGCTAGCGTCAATAACTAGGTCTTCTACCGTATAAATAAATTAATTATGATCTAATAAAAAATACTATATTTTTAGGATTGGCAAGTGGAAAATAATTCTGACAGTCAAGGAATCAAAGATTCTAATTTCGATTATCCAATAGATATTGACGACGTAAAACTGGAGAAAATTGAAGATTCTTCAGAAGACATTGATGCACCTGGTAAATTATTCAAATATTTTAATAAAATTATACTGATAATTTTTAGAATTTTTTTACCAAATAAATTTTCATTTAAAAAATTTAAAAATTTCATTTTTTAAAAATCATTTTTTAGAACTAGTCTATTAAAAAAAAATGTCTGCTAATTTTAGTGACATTAAAATAAAAATGAAAATTAAGTTAGCTGACATTTAAAAATTTTTACAATTTTTTTTTATTGAAAAAATCATTACAAAAAAATAAAAAAAAAATTGCACGTCTAAAAAAATTCAAAAACTGTAAGTGCAATTTAAAAAAAAATTTTTTTGTTCTAATTTAATTATTAAAAAAAAAAAAATCAAAAAATAAATAATGTCGGCCAACTTTAGTATCATTAAATAAAAATATTTTTAATTAATATTCTACAATTTTAGATTTTATGCACAAAAATGTGGACAGTACCTCTTTAAAAAAACAATTATTCCTTGAAAATAATCAAAGTTCACTAATTACAATGAAGAAGAAAAATGAAGTGAAAAATTTGCATAAAAAATCAGAAATAAATATAAAAAATTACACCTGCGATCATTGTCAAGCGACTTTTGATAAAAAGTCAATAATTAGGACGCATATTAAGACTCACCAAGCAGACTTGTTCCATGAAAAGTCTCAGAATAAACCCCCAGAAACAGAGTCGGAAGAAAAACCATACTCTTGTGACGTCTGTCCCTCAAAGTTCCGTTTCGAAAGATATTTAAAACAGCACAAGCGAATAATCCACACAGAAAAAAAGCGTTTCTCTTGCGACAGTTGTTCCTCCTTATTCCGAACAAGAACTCATTTGAAAAGACACATGATTTGTCACACGAGAGAACAGCCTTACGCTTGCGACATCTGTAGGTCTCTGTTCCGGCGAAGAGGTAGCCTAAAAAAACACATGCTAACTCATAAGGAAGAAAAACCTTATGAGTGTAATATTTGCTCGTTGAAATTCCGGCACAGAGATTACTTGAACAGTCATGTTAGAATCCACTCGACGGAAAAACCTTTCGCTTGCAGCGTCTGTTCCTCCCAGTTCCGCCACAGAAGTACTTTGAACATGCACCTCAAGAGCCACGAGCAAGAGGAACCTTGTTTGTGCGCAATCTGCGAAGCTAAGTTTAGGAACAAGAAGAATCTTAGAGAACATATGAGGATTCATGTGGGAAATAAACCTCATAAGTGTGGACTTTGTTCTTCTAGGTTCTTGAAGAAAAGTCTTTTGGAAAAACACATGAGGGTACACACTAAGGAACGTCCGTTTTTGTGTAATATTTGTTCGTCTGATTTCCGGCAGAAAAGAGCTTTGGATCAACATATGAAAGTTCATTTTAATTAAAAAAAACTATGTGATATTTATAGAAAAAATTTTATCTCATTAATTTTATAAAAAAATTATTAATTAAATTAGAAGAATATTTTTATCTTAAAAAGGGATTTTAAGATTTTTTTATTAATTTAATTAGAATTAAAAAAGTATTAAAAAGAATTTTTTTTTTATTTTTTGTGATTAATGATTTAATAAAAAAAAATATTAAATATTTATAATAATAAAGTTAGCCGACATTTTTGATTTTTTTATTTTGCTTAATTTATTAAATTATAATCAAAACATATTTTTAAAAAATTACAAATGAAAAAATTTTCTTTTTATTTTTTTGTAATAATTTTTTAATAAAAAAAATTATAACAATTTCTCGATATCGGCTAACTTTATATTCATAATTTTTTTTGATGAGTTTTATAATAAAAAAAAATTAATTTCCATTGTAGTGATTCAATTTTTTGATAATAAAAATTTGTATATCTTGTAAATTAAAAATTTGATTTTTAATTTTTTATATATATATGCAAACTTTTCAAAAATAAATTTTTTTTAAAACAAATTAGTATATATAAATTATAAACAAATATATACAAAATCTCAGCTGATTTCAGCATCATTGACGATCGGTAAAGCTTGAAACTATAATTCAATAACCCCTTTAAAAGTAGCAACTGTATAATAATAATAATAATCACTGTACATTTATGTGTTATTAAATATGTTTATGATTTGACGAACTGCGGACATACCAAACATAAAGGAGCAAAAAATTTGTAGATAAAAATAAAAAAAACTTAATATAGGTTTAATTAATTAATTATTATTGTATTGTATTAATCTTAAGGTAAATAATTGTAATATAAATAATGAGTGACACCACTTTGCCATTCGAACTAGTAATTTGCAAATCTGAAATTGATGATGAGGTAAGAGGGTTATGTTTTCATATATTTTTAAGTAAAAAAATTAAAAAAAAAAATTTGAAGTGCAATTTTTTGAAAAATATTTTGTTATTTAATGAAAATTAATTAAGTAGATATTTAAAAATTTTAATAATTTTTTTTTATAAATAAATTATGGCAAAAAAATATTGACGAGTAGAAATTTTGATAAATTATAAATTTAATTTTTTTTAATTAATTTTTCATAAAAAATTTGAAAAATTATCATGTGACTGTTAATTTTATAATTTTTTTATTGAAAACAATTGAAAAAAAAGATTTGACATGTAGAAAATTATAAAAAATGTAATGTTATAAAAAATAAAGTTAGCCATCCAGAAATTTTTATCATTTTTTTTATTAAAGAATTATTACAAAAAAATTTTTTCATTTGTTAAAAACTTAAAAAACTATAAGTGCAATTTTTCAAAAATATTTTTTGAGTTATAAGTTAATAAATTAAGCAAAATAAAAAAATCAATAATGTCGGCTAACTTTATTATTATAAAATGTTAATTGTAATTTTTTTTAAATACTTCTCAATCTTTATTGATTAAAATTTTTATTTATTGATAATTAATTTTCAGCATGAAAATGAAAACCCGGTGGTGGATGATGACAACCGTCAAGACTCCCTAGCCGAGCTGCCAATTGATATCGAAGAAATAAAAATAGAGGAGCCAGATTTTTCACCAATTTCCAAAAAAAAGCCTCCCAAGCGTAAAGTAAAAGCAGAGTTGAAGTCTAAAATACGTCGAAAAGTTTCCCGAAGGAAGCCGAAGGCCGAGAATGAGCGACCTTACGCTTGTTCCTCTTGTTCCAGCTCGTTCCGGGAAAAGTGGAGCCTGAACCGGCACATTAAGAGCCACGAAGCTAAAACATTTATCTGCGACCTATGTGCCGCAAAGTTTGGACGGAAGAGCCACCTAGAAGGCCACATGAAAATCCACACTGGCGAGAAGCCGTACGGCTGCACAGTTTGTCCGGAGAAGTTCCGCAAGAGGACGACCTTGAACCAGCACATGAGGATCCACACTGGAGAGAAGCCCTTTCAGTGCGACGTTTGTTCCACGCGGTTCCGGCAAAAGGGCCAGGTGACAGTCCACATGCGGATCCACACCGGAGAAAAGCCCTACACTTGCAGTGTCTGTTCCGCCAAGTTCCGGGAACGGGGAACTCTGACCAGCCACATGCTTGTTCACACTGGGGAAAAACCGTACGCTTGTCAGATGTGTCCGATGAAGTTCCGGGAGAAGAATCACTTAAAGTCGCACATTCTTATCCACACTGGAGAAAAGCCGTACGGCTGCAATATCTGCTCTTCTAAATTCAGACAAAAGTGCACGCTTGTCAAACACCTGAGGATCCACAAAGGAGGAAAGCTTCACACTTGTTCTGTCTGTTCGACTATTTTTCCTAAAAAAGCTACGCTTGCTAAACACATGCTCACTCACACTCCCGATGAACTTTTGATGTTTGAGATGTAAAATTAGTTTTTGTATCTAGAACTTTTTATATTTCATTATGGTAATTATAATAAATTTATTTATTAATGTTACTTTTTTTTTATTTTTATATGTAAATTATTAATTTAAAATTAGCTGTCAGCTGATTTTTTATTTTTTTTTTTTAATTAAAAAAATTATTTTTTACATCTCAATTTTTTTGAGAAATATTTAATAAATTAATTTACATAAAAAATTACAATTTTTTTTATAATAGAAAAGAAAATTGCATTTTTTTTTTTTTTTTTTTAATTTCAGATGACCCGTCGATAAAGTAAAACACTTCTTCAGTATTATTATTGTATATATAAGTGCGTGCAATGCAGTGTTTATGTATGTCTGAGAATATCTAGAGCATTGATTGTAATAATTAAAAAATAGAGAAAAAAAATTGTTGACGTTTTTATAAAATAGTAAAAGAGTAAATAAATAATTTTTAAAAATGGATGAAAATTATTTACTTGAAAAAGTTATTGTTAAAATTGAAAAAGATGAAGAGGTAAGGTTAAGTTTTAGAAATTATTTTTTTATTATTTAAGAAATTAATAATAATACATTTATTTTTTAGGACTTTCAAGAGGATCAATCAATTTTTAATTATGAAGATTATAATTTTGGTGAAGAGTATCCTGTAGATATTGATGATATTAAGATAGAAGAACCCGGTAAGAATTTCAAATATTTTAATTATTTTTTACTCTGGAAATTTTAAAAATTTTTTTATATTGAAAAAAACATTACCAAAAAAAACTGAATTTTTTTTAGTTCTTATTTAATAAGAGAAAAAAAAATCAAAAAATTCTATACTTTTAGGAATTGTAATTTTTTGTTCTATTAAATCTTTATTAATTTTTCAGACAAAATAAAAAAATTTTCAAGTGTCTGCGAATTTGTGTCAGAAAAAATGTTTTCAAAACAAATTTTTTAAAAATTGTTACTTAAATTTTTTTTTAATTTCTAATTATATTTAAATATCCTAGATATTCCCGATGTTACACTCATCAAGAGCTTTCATTTGAGTACCCACACGCATTTTGATATATTTTTTATATATTCATATATA